TTCATCCCCCCGGGTTTTCTGGGCTAGCCCCCCCCCCCCCCCACGTGAAGGTGTGTCGGGAATCGTCCAAATCGCTCGCACACGCACGTCCCAACGCCCAAGGGATGGGATGACCGCACGCCGCCACCACACAGGGATTTTAAGGAGAGGAGTGTGGTGTTAGCCCTCGCCCACCCTAACCCTTGGTCGTCGGGACGTGCGTGTGCGAGAGATTTGGTTGTAAAATTCTTTCTTTCTTTCTCACGCGACAGAGAGAAGAAATGCTGCGGCGGCGCGGCCGGTCGAGGCCGGGCTCGGCCCGGCCCGCGACGGCTGGCCGCCGACGAGCGCGCTCGCGCTGCTCGTCAAGATGGCGGCGGTGGCGATTGCGGCCACAAAAGTTCAGGCGTACAGCGCTCAGGCGTCTGTCCGTCCGGCCGTGCCCCGCGGGGGCGCGGTCGGCACCAGAAGGGGGTTGATACGTTCTCTAGAGACGACGTAGTCGTGGACGGCCGCAATCACAGTGGACGGACACGACAAGACGAGTGTGAAAGCACGGAGGCAACAAAACACACTAGGGTTCGGGAGAAGGCTAGGGTTAGGGAGAGAGTGCCTGACGGGCTTCGGCCCGACGAGGTGACAGAGCGGCGCCCGGCGCCCGGCGTAAGGAGGCAGGCGTCGGAGGCAGGGGAGGGCAGCAAGAGATCTGCGGAAGAGCGGCGATCGCACTCCTCGAGGTCGGCGAGCTCAAGCTGCGGCCCGACCAGAGCAGCTGAGCCTGCCTCTGGCCTCGCCTCCCTCTCCTCCAGGCATTGTGGCATCCTATGGGTCGTTATCGACCTCTGGCTTGTCAGCCAGCCCCACTTTGAGGGCGCCATGAAGTACAGCGATCGCCATCTCGCTGGCCTCTCCACAGGCCCCCCCGACCGCGTCGAACTCGTCGGCGCGGGCTCTCTCGAGGCTACGGGACCGGCCCCAGCTTCGGCTGAGGGCTGACAAGCTGCCGAGCCCAAATCACTGTGCGAGTCGTGATTTCTTGTTGGTTTTCTAAAATCTCTCTCTCTCGCGACAGAACAACAACAACAATCTCTCTCGGTCTCGCGAGAGAGACAAAGAATTTTGAAGACAACCTGTGTTAGTGCCAGGGTGCGCGCCCGTGGGAGAGAGAGATTTGTTTTGTTTTGTTGCCCGTGGGTGCGCGCCCGTGGTCCCGTGCCTAGTGTTGTGTCTGAAATATTTTTTACGACGCAACTCCCGGACTGGCGCGCACTGGCTTCAAACAACAATCATCTCTCTCTCTCTCTCTCTCTCTCTGGCTTCCCAGGCCAGTTAGTTAGTTAGGAAGCTAAAAAGAAAGAAAAAGAGACGTCAAGGGAGGGAGTTAGGAAGCTGAGCCCCGGGGTATTTGCAGCGCTTGGAGCAGCTCGACGCTATTTTTCCCCGTGCAGCCCTCCACTGGAGGCCGTGGGCTGTCTGTTCGATACACATAGGAATCCTACACACACATATACACATATGCCAAATCCCTCTTGTGTAAGGCGCGGACTGTGCTGACGCCGCCCACCGCCTGTCTGCGCGGCACGAGGCTTTACGAGAGAGCGAACACCCACACTCCTGCGTAGTCCCGCCGCCACCGGCCTTCCACTCTGAGCGCATGGCGCCGACAGAGATCGCCACATCGATCCTGCTCACGTACGCCGGCTCGGAATGGCTGCACGGCTCGCGCCGCCGCGCCATCGTCAGCGGCGGCGCGGCTGCCGCACTGCAGCTCCTCGTGCGCGTGTTGGCCCTCGGGCTCAGCGGCTCGGCCCGTGCCCTGTCGGCGGCGGCGGGCCTGCGCATCCCGCCGCTGCTGAAGGCGCCGCTCATTGCGTTTTTCTTCATCGGGACGCTGTGGCTCGACACGGTCGGACGCGGCCGGCTCAGCCGTGCCGACTTTGCGGCCGAACTCCAGAGCGCGACGCTGCGGATGCTGCCGCTGTGCCCGCTCCTCTCGCTCCTCGTCGCCGCGGCGCTGCTGGGCGTTGGCGAAGCGTTCGAGCACCTCGGCCTGCCGACCGAGTGGCTCGATCTGCCAATCTACTATGGCGTCTTCTACGGCCCCTTCGTCTACACGTACCTCCTCGTCAAGGCGGCCGCCGCTCGCGCGACGCTGCTGCCGACGAGCGTCGCAGGCGGGAGGAGATAGGTTGATGCGTGATGAATTCTTCAGAACTTCATTCTGAACAAAATACCCCGGAGTGTGTGCGCACCCTGCATGGCACTGGCATGACACGTCACTCCTGGAAGGCGCCGAGATACCAACGCATACGAAAATGTCCAGCTCTCAGAAACAGTCAAACAGAGCTCATCAGAGGCACCGCCACCGGTTTCGCCCCCCTCCCGGGCGTCGGCGGGCTCGGGGCCCCCCTGCGCCCCGGACGCCGGAGGCAGGCGTCGCCGCGCACAGCCACACCGGCGAGACACAGCTTGAACAGCTAGCTTGCTAGCTGTTGATTGAAAACTGTGACGAGAGGTGGCTGAGGCGGTTATCAGGAGAATCATCCGATTCATACGGATCACACATTGCCGATGGCTCTCTCGCTTGACGGGAGACCGCCCGACTACTCCTGGCCTCCTGGGTGGCACTGCCAACTCGCTCTTAGGGGACCCCTCTGGGCTTAAGGGTGGGCCCTGGGGCGCCTGCGGATTAAACGGCTTAAAACGGGCCATGGCCCGTCTTAAGGCAGCCTGGGCCGCCGACTCCTTAAACGGTCTTATAAACGCTTAAACGGTGTGCGGGAGAGCTCCCAAGCTCGTACCGGGAGGCTGCAGCCTCCCGGTAGACGCCGGAGGGGCCGGGAAGCTGGCTACAGTCAGCTAGCACGCGTCCCCTATGCGAGTATGGCTCCTGCCAGTGCACCAGACTTACAGATGTGTCTTCAGAGGCGGGTTTGTGCCTAATAACGGCAGTATTGGAGAAAACGGCGCGGAATCCAGCGACGCATGCCGGCGAGGCCGATTTTCTTAAACGGTCTTAAAGGGACCCCCCGTGCCTGCAATCTCTTAACTGGCAATTTAAGCCCCCAAACCTCCCCATTTCTTGAAAGGTCTTTAAAAATCCGGCCCTCAAAACCCTGGGGTACCCTAAGAGCAAGACCTCGCTGCTCGCTCTCGACATCCTCGTGCCGACAGCGACACAGACCATGTGGGACGCGTCGAGTATCGACCTCTACTGCTTACCCAGCCCTCGAGTGTACCCTGGCTCTGTGGTCCCACACCCACTGGTGTCCATCGTACGTCCATCTCAGAGACCGCAGGAGGTCACGAGGGTCGATGGGACTGCCAACCCCACAAATCTCCTAAAAACCCAACCCAGTACGTGGGCGGAGCGTCCGGAGATGGGAGTAGGGGCAAACACTGAAAACGTAACTTGATCGGGGCGCGGTTTTTTTTGGACTAGACTGCTCGGGGGAGGTGGGCGAGTGATTGGGTAGCTTTGGGGCCGCCGAAAATAATGAGAACCGCCCCCTATATCTCGCCAAATCTCGATTTTTCGCGGGAATGGTCGCTTCTCAGCCCCGCGCGAGCTACAGTGACTCCCCAGGGCTTGTCCCGTGGCCCAAAGTGGTACCCCGAGCTCCGCCACGAGCGTGGGCAATCAGGAGACACCCACAGTCACGGCGGGCGAGGAGTTGGGTGACGGCCAACTGTCGATTACGGCGCCTCTGGAGCCTCCTGTATCGTCGGTTCGGCTCGAAGATCGTGCCGCATCCGCATGTAAACCACCTCCGCGCCCCCGCTGGCACATGTCCGCATTGCCCGAGCCTGGGAGAAGTTCCCAGTGCCCGGAGGCTGCACAGGTCCGCGAAACGCTGGCGCTGCAGCTCCCGGCGCGCACCCCAGATTCGCGAGGAAAACAGCCGAAAACGGGTCGCGCCGCGATCGACCCTCAGCGAGCCCAGGCGAGCCTGGTAATCCCACCCGGTGGTAAGCGCACGTCCTCCGCGTAATCTAGCGCGCTGTGCAGCCCGCCAGTGCATGGCGCCGACCTGGGCCGACTGGTCGATCTCGCCGCGATCTCGCCATCCAATTCTCGGTCAGGTGTAGTGGATCACCTTAAAATCCTGGATTAATTCCTGAGCCCACCTGGCCCCACCAGACGGGTGGCACGAGGCGCCCGGGCCACTTTTTAGCGCCTCCCGAGCCTCCCGGCGCCTCCTGTGGCCTCCTGAACCCTCTCCCCCGCAGCCTCTCTCGGCGACGTGGGGAGCGGCTGCCGTCCACGGCTCGCACCGGCTCTTCCAGCGGCTCCACGCTTGCCGCCTGTGACGCCCGCGCCACGCACTGCCACGCGGCCGCTCGAGAGAGCGGTCGACGCCCATACTGCTGGGCGTGGCGCTCTATCGGTCGACGCTTCGGCGTCGCTGCTTGGTTGGGGACCCGTGCCTCGACGCGGCGGCGCGGCCAAGTACGGCTCGGTGGCACAGCGCGTCGCCACGGATGAGATGCGGCCACAAGCGGCTGGGGAAGCTCCAAGAATGTTTCGTTCTACTTGCAGGAGAGGTGCAAGCAATTCGGGTGACTGCATGGCTCTTCGCGTCGAGGGATGCGTCCAGATAATGAGTTGCTTATTGAAAGCGCCGTGTCTTGCGGCATACGGCTTTATTCCGGGTCATCGATCCACGTGATGTGACAAACTAGCCGCTATTAATGAATATGGGAATGTTATCTAGTTAAGGCAACCCGAGCGACAACTCACGCGCTTGGCGTGTGTGTGCCTGCTGCTCAAGGTCAAGCGGATATGAGCATATACACAACACACATACCACGGTCCGTCTGCATCCTCGGCCATCTACCGCCGTGCCGCATCACCCTATGTCCTTCGCCTCGCGCTCCGCCTCCTTGCGCACCGCGTTGACGCTGACCTCCTGGAGCGTCTTCACCTGCGCCCTCAGCTGCGAGGAGCGCTGCTGCTCCCGCCGCGCGGCGGCCGCCGACGCGTCGGCGCTCGCCTGCAGCTCGGTGTACGAAGGCGCCGCCTCGGGCTCCTCCCGCGTGCGGTGCAGCGCCGAGAGCAGCTCCTTGCCGCGCACCTTCAGGAGCGAGGCGACGGGCACCGCCGCGGCGATGTGCCGGTGTAGCGTGTGGGAGCCGTTGGCCGGGTTGTACGACGGGCCCGAGATGCCCTTGGACTTGGCGAGGCAGTTCTTCAGATAGTTCGAGAGCGCGGTCTGCCCGACGTCGTGGTCGATGACCTCGAGCTGCACCAGCGTGCGCGTGATGTGGGCGAGCGGCTCCGCCGCCCGAGCGGCGGCTTGACTGAGCAAGGACGGGACGAGGCCCTTGGCGAGAGCCAAGTTACGCCACTCCGGATCGTCGGTCGGAGGCTGCCATCGCTCGCGCAACTGCGCACAACACGCACACACGGCTCAGGCAGCAAGGCCGAGATAGAGCCGAGATATAGCCGAGATATAGCCGAGATATAGCCGAGGTGTAGCAGCCGCGGCGGCGGCTCGGGGGGCGGTGGGAGAGCAGGGCGGGCGCCTGCTTGTAGCGACTCGACTGCAGCAGCACGACGTTCATCCACTGGTCGACGAGCGTCGGGACGGCGACCCACGAGCCGTCCGCGCCGCGGCCATGTAGCAGCACGAGCAGCGCCCATGCGTGCACCTCCGCCTCGCTGGGCAACGCCTTGCCCGAGGCGCACAAGATCGAGTTCCTGCGGCGCGGGTGAGCGGCAAGAGCTCGCCAAGGCGGGGCGAGCGCGGCCACGGCGAGGGCGGGCACGCACCGCTTCGATTCGGGCGCCCCGCGCTGCAGCGCCGCGCGCCGCTCAAGCTCGGCCTGCACGTTCTGGAGGATCTGCTGCAGCTGCTCGGTCGTGACATCTGCGGCACACACGCGCAAACCTGAGACCCCCACGGGCCCGGCGGCGGCGCGGCGAGCGGGGCGCGCGCAGGGGCACACACGGGCGTCGCAAACGCGCGGGCGCAGCGCGCCTGGAGCACCAGGAAGGGTGCCACCGCCGGCGCCGTGCTCATCGTGATCACCTGCACGCACAGGCATCGCAGATCGTCAATGTCCCGCTGTGTCCCGAGCTTGGGGCTCGCGCTCCGGCGCCACGGGCTCGACGCGAGGACTCTGGAGAGAATGTCAGAGTGAGAGTGGATGAGGTTGGAGTGGAGGCGGCAATCGCCGTGCGGGCGCGCCCGGGCTGCAGACTCCTCCAAAGCAGCGGGACGGGAGCGCGCGCGCGACCGCGGGCCGGATTTTGCGGGGGAACTCGGGGGGAGGGCGCCCCGGACACGCCCTGCACGCGGCGCGGGCTGGCGCTCACCAGGAGCGGCAGCATTTGCGGTCTTCTTGCGAGGTTTTTCTTTCCACGCCATCATTCTTTTCCCTGCCAGCGGCCTCACTTGTCGCATTTGCGAGGAAAGCAAGCGCGAGCGCTGCGGCGCCGGAGTCTTTCGGTCACCATTCTGGACCATCTTAATATTTTTCAATGATTTTTGCAGGGTCTGAAAGCTGAGACTCAGCTCTTCACGCTCGGTATGAAAGCAAGGTCCGTCCGGGGGGTCCCATTTTTCAGTATTTCCCCCTAATGGGAGCCTCCGCCCCTCCCGCCCGCGGGGGAGCACTTCGTGCATCGTGGAGCGCACTCATCTTGGAGGAGCAGCTTGCCAAGTTTGTCTTGGTACGTCGACACGGAGACGGGAGAGGGTTCGGGCTCCTTTCCCCGTATAGGGCTAGGGTTCCGCTGAAAAGGGAGGGTGGTCGGGTGGATAGGTATATACTAAAGTTAGGGCGGGGTTTGAGGTGCCACAGACCCCCACACCCACACTGGATAGGTAGCCAGCCGGTAGAACGTGTTTTCTCTCCGCGAACCCAGCTCGAGAATTTTTACAACAAAACTCCGTCGAGGCGGGAGGGCCAGGCAAGGCGCGGCTGCCATGAGTGACGCATGAGCGAGTAGCGCGCGGGAGAAGCGCGCGGCTACCGTGTCGCCCACTAAGGTGACTCATCATCACCTCCCTCCCTTGCTCCCTACCTATCAACATACATACGTTGTCATTGTACATTGAGCGGACGGGCGTACACGAACAGCTCGTCGGCGTCGCCCGCCGCCGCCCGCCTTTCCGCGGCACGGTGTGCACCGCCTCCGCCGTCCACGCCTCCCGCAACGCCGCGCCCCGGCCCTCGCCGAGCCGCTGGAATGGTCCGCCGCCGTCGGCGTTCGCCGCCGCCGCGGCCCAGGCCGCCGCGGTCAGCGCCGCGCCCTGACCGACGAACGCGCACAGCGGATCCGGCATCTGGCCCACCGCCTCCCTCGCCCCGCGGTGGCCAGACCCTCTTCCACCCCTTGTGCAATCGCGCTTGTTACGCCGGATCGAATCATCGATTCATTATCTTACGTCCGTCCCGCCGCCCGCCGCGCGGCCTGACTCCTCATCACCTCAATCACAATGTGTGTACAGGTATATTGTTGGCAAATCAAGACACAGAGCTCACACAGAATCACAGCGGGAGGAAAGCGGCGAGTCGCAATTCCAGGGGTCGTTGTGGCGGGCCACCCTGTCCAGAGAGGTATGTCAACATACACACATAGAATAAATAGGAAGGCGAAAGCGCGAAACAGTCTTCCGACCAACGACTGACTGGGACACCAACGCGGTATGGGTGGACGCGGGACGGGCGGTGACGGTCACACAGGAGCGACACACAGAACCACAAGACAAGACTGAGGGGAGCTCGAGAACCTCGGCCGTCTCCCACTCGAGACTAGGGGGTTGTATCAGAGGGGGGTGGGTCTGAGGCAAGCGGGCCCAGATCTGCTCGTCTCAGAGGGTACCCTCTGTGCCAAGAGAGGCCATCCACGAGCGGCTCAGAGGGTGCCTGGGCCGACCCTCTGAAGGCCTGTGCCGCCAAGCCAGCCTCTCTCGGCGCAGCCTCTGAGGCTACGGGGACCCTCTGAGACGCCAAGGCAAGCCCCGCGAGGCCGCTCCTCAGAGGGGTTTTCAGGCATTTCAAGTCTCTCTCGTCCCCACAACCACAGAAAAAGAATTTCTGCGAGAGTTGACGGAACTGTCTCTCCAGCTACTCTGCGCGAGGCGCCCCAGCTGTGGCGAGGCACCCAAGATGCGCATCAGAGTCCGGGTCAACGACATTGTCGGGCGGCCGCTCCAAGCACATCCTCAAGTTGACGGGGCCGGGCCGTGTGCGAAAAGCTGGTTCACGCGCAGGGCACGGCGCAGGCGCTGGTGGGCGAGCCTGCAGCAGTAAGCGCGTGTGGTGCCGGGCGCGCTTGCGAGCGTATAGAGTAGCGCCTTAGTCATGGATGGTCGCTGTGAAAAAGTCGCAATGTTTTACTACCCCGCCCCTCCCCGCCCTCACTGGTCAGCGTCGTTCGTGGAGGGCGCTAGGCAGCTCCGCCTCCGCCCGGGGCTCTCGCCTCTGCCGTGAGGGGGGGCCACCCTCTGAGGTCAAAGCCCTCTGTGCCGCGCCAAGACGGACCATCAGCCAGGGACCCTCTGAGGCCAAAAGCAGCCAAGAGAGGCCATAGAGGCTGTCGCGGGGCGGGTTGCCGGAATGGTGGCACTGAGGCCCGAGGGGTGCGGGAGGCGCACGGCGGGGGCCGGCCTCGGGGTGAGGGTGAGGTCGGCCGCCGCCACCGGGGGTCGCCGCGCCGTAGAGCGGCCCGCCGGTCTCCCTGCTGGCGGTGCGCGCGGCCGCGCTCAAAGGCGCTGATTGCTCGGCCGCGCGGGGCCAGGTGACTCGCCCGCTGGAAGGGTGGTGCACGGGGTTTGCGGCGGGGTCCCCAACGTCCCCGGCGGCGGCCCGCTGGCGGGCCGCCGCCGCCGCCAGGGCGGCGGCGATGACGGAGAGCTCGTGGTGCTCGGTGTCGCTCTCCATCTCGTCGAAGAGGTCGCTTGCCCTCTGCTCGAGGGCTCGTGCCCATGCCTTGTCCCGCAGTGCTCGGACCTGCGCGCGGGTGCGCTCGAACTCCGCTGGCATCTCTGCGAGCTCGGTGTGGTCCGCCCGCCTCTCGGGCCTGTGGGACGTGCCGTCCAGGGCGACGTAGCGATCTCCCTTGTCTGAGGGAAGACCACCATCCGTGTCTGCTCCCTCCCCCACGGCCCGCTGTGGTGGGGTCGGTGCGCCACGCCGTGCGGCGTACTTGTACGTGTCGTGCAGCGCCGGGGGCTCGCGCGTGCGGAGGGCACGCACCCCGGGCGCGGCGCCCGCCTGGACGCCGCCGCCCAAGGCAGCTGGCGTCAGGAACGCTCGGCTCTGCAGTCGCGACCGCTCCTCCTTGGGGACAGCCTCGCCGGGTGCGTCGTGCGCCTTGTCGCCCGGCGGCGGCGCAAAGTGCCCCCGTGCGCCGTGGTACCACTGCCTGTCGTGGCCTCGTGGCTCGTGGCGGTGATCGTGGCCCGCGTCGAGGGCCTCCTTGGCACCGAGTGCCACGTGCATGCCCACAGGAGCGTGCGCTCCTGCAGTGCGGGTTCCAGCTTGGCCCGCGACGCTCGCGTTGTCGTCACGATCCGGTGCCTCGGGGGCCCGCGCCCCCGGCGGGTCGTCCGACCCCATGGTTGTATGGTTTGCCTCGGCGTCTCCCGCCGGTGCGTTCTCTGGGACTCCCCGCGAAGGGGGGCCCATGGCCGCCCTCGCAGCCCATGCCCACGAGCCAAACCCGTGGTCGGTCTCGAGGTGTAACCCCCAAGGGTCCGCCTCGTCGAGTCCGCCCGAGCCGTCGGGCCGGTGGGACGCAAGGTCCGCCTCGACGTTCCCCGTCGACGCGCGCCTCAGGGCTCCCGTCGATCGGAAACCCACGGTCGATGCCGCAGCCCATGCCGCTACATCTGACGCTTGGAGTTGGCTATGCCCGTGCGTCCCCCGGGGGTGCGGCTCGGGCCAGTCCGGGTCATCGGACCCGGAGATTGTGTCGCTGATCACACCGTCCTCCGATGGCGGTGCGCTTCCCCAGGACTCCTCTCGCAAGGGGCCAACAGGAGGAGGCGCGTCCACTGGAAGGGACGCTGCTCTCTCCACTGGAGGGTAGGTTTCCACCCGCGGGCTCGCTCCGTGCGAACTCGCTGTAGGGGTAGTTTCATTCATAGCTATGGACCCGCGCGCGCCGCGCAGGCCGATTGCGGGGCTCTCCCACAACCACGCTGACCAGATCCCCGGACCAGCGACAGAGGCGAAACGACACTCGGCCCGCCGACACAATTCGACCACTGGACACCATAACTAAATGCGGCGCAGGCCAATCTCAAGTTCCCTTCTCAATTCTTCGCGGGTTTTGGTGCAGTCACCTTCCCCCGCGACAGCAGCGGACAGCGTCCCGCCTAGGGACCTGAGGGGGTTTGTGGGGTAGTAGTGGGGTAGTTCGGCACTGCGCTCCTTCCCACGACGCCATGCTCCGCCACGATGAGCTGCCTCTCGGCGAACGCCCACGGGTGGCCGCTCGTTCCCGCTGCCCAGTAGCCCTCGCGGTTCTGGTGGTCGCGCTGCGCCCATTGCGCCGCCCGGGCGACAAAGCCCTGGCACGCCGCCTGCACCCGCGTGCACTGGATGAAGTCGTTGATGTTGAAGGGCAGCCCACGAAGGTCTGGTCGCGTCGCGCCCGGGCGAAACGCGGCAAAGTATTCACGCGCGTCCAGGCACTCCTGGTGGTCGCAACAGCCGCGCCGCCCTGCGAGGATGGCGTCCATCTCCGCCGTGATGAGGGTGGTGCAGCCCGGGGGGCGCTGCCCACGTCCAAGCACGAGCCCGCGGCGAATCCTCGCGAGGCCCACCAGGCTCTCGCGCGCAGCGATTAGCGCGGGTTCGATGGTGGCGTGGCATCTCGCCTCGGACGGTTGAGATCCGTGCAGCTGCTCCAGGAACGCCGGCGTTAGCAACGGGCCCGTGCTGTCGAGGTCCGGCCCGGCTGCTCCCGCCGGCGTCGCGGGCGCGGCCGTGGTGTACTCATCCAGCTCGCTGAGGCGCCCCGGCGCGCAGGCCCCGCACGCGAGCCAAGTCTCCGGCGCGGTGCGCAGGTGGAACTGGCACATGGCGCACGGCAGGCGGAGCGTCCCGTTCGGGGTCGAGGGGCGCACGCACGCGGGGAAGCTTGAGCAAGGGCGCGCGGGCTGGGGCGCGACCGCGTAGTAGAGCAGTGTGTCGATCGGCTCTCCGACCCGGATGCCCGAGCATGAGGCCGTCACGCGCGTCACGGCACCCCGGGGCTCGACCCGGTAGAGCACGTTGCCGTAGTGTGAATAGGGCCGGAAGCTGCCCTGTGAGTAGCCCGCCCTCCTAGGCGTGCCTGTCGCTGACGCGTGCGCGTCCTCCTCCCTTCTGCGCAGCGTAAGGCCGTCGCAATCGCGCGGCAGGTTGAGCAGCGGCGCCAGCACCGCTTCGAAGAAGGCGGCGAACCAGGGGCCGTGCAGCGTGGCCAGGGGGCCCATGCAGAACGTGGTGTGCCGCCCCCGATCGTCGCGCAGGACGATGCGAGGGCCCACGTGCTCGCTTGCAGTATCGCATCCGCACGCCAGTGGCCACCCCGGGTGGTCCGCCTTGTCGCAGGCGACGCACCGCACATGCGCGCCGTGCGCCGGGCACGTCACCCGGATCCCCGCCGGGCAGAGCGGGCAGCCCTGCACGTAGGCCGGGTTCAGAGCGTTGGTCCGCTCCACCCCCACCTCGACGCGGTAGCGGGCGGAGGGGCCGATGCTCGCCCCTCGCCTCGCGAGGTATCGCTCGTGGTTGCTGTCCGGGCTGGATCCGTGCGGGTCGTACACGAGGCAGCCCCAACGCGCCCCCGTCAGGTTGAAGGTGAACTCGCCCCCAAGGCGAAGCCTCCCATTTGCGCCGTGGTACGTGTCCACGGGGTTCATCGCTGCTGTGCCCATCAATTCTTCGCGGGTTTTGGTGCAGTCACCTTCCCCCGCGACAGAGGCGGCACAGAGTCAGAGTCAAACCCTCTGTGCCGCCAAGGCAGGGGTCCGACCCGTCCTCAGAGGGGGGTCTGAGGCCTCAGAGAGTGTATAGCCCCCTAGTCACTCGAGTAGGACCAAAACAAAAAACAAATCTGCCGGGCTTTTGCTGCAAAGCGCTCGGCCCCGCGACCATTTACAAACACATTGAGGTACATATTATGTGTATATGCCGCCCTCCACCACCGCCGTCTTTGCTGCCGGCGGCGCGCTCGCCGTTGGCAATATCGTCCTCGGCCACTCGGCGATCCTCGCAGGCCTCGGCCGCGGCGCACCGTGGGTTCGGACGGCGGCAGCAAAAATCGAGGTACTCTTTGGCAAGGATGGCATTCTGCGCGAGGGCTCGCCGCGCTCGCTGCTCGCGCCCGGCGCACGCGCACGCGACCTGCACCTCGTCGACCTCGGCTCTGGAGACGGCGCGCTAATCCGCGCTGCGACGCGGACGGGCGGCTACGGAAGGGCGACCGGGTATGAGCTCAACCCGTGGCTCGTGCGCTACTCGCGCCTTGTCTCGGCGGGCCGGCCGGAAGAGAGGACTCTTGAGGTTTCGCTATGGGAGGCCGCCCTCGCAGAGGCGCGGCCTTAGATGCGGCGTTTAGCAGATTGCCTCTCTCCGTGTCATCGAGCTCCAGCCGCATGCTCCGCTGCATGCGCGGCCCCCGACTTCGAGATCACCCGAGACTAGGCGGACGTCGTGCTCGTGTACGGAGTGCCGCCCATCATGCCGCGGCTCGGCGACGCCCTCTCCGCTTCCCTCCCGCTGCTGGGGAGGCAGAAGAGTTGCGAAGCCCGAACGCTGTGAACAGGCGACGCGCTGCGCGCAGGCCTGCGTGAGGGTGCCCTCGTCGTCGCGAACGCGTACCCTCTGCCCTCGCACGCGCTCGGCCCCGCGGTGGGGACTACGTTCGTCGAGACCTCCCGCTGGTCTCCCGACGCGTCGAGCTGCCTCTTCGCGTACCGGGTGCCGAGACGACCGGGCGAGGACGGCGGCGAGCGCGAGGGAGGCGCGAGCCGAGGTACAGAGGGACGGGAAGCCCCGGTCTGTGGTAGAAGTTTGGATGGTTAGTTTTGAACGGGAGATGTTGCCGAGATTTGTGTGTCACATTTGTCTCCTTTCCTCGAGCTCCTATCTCTTCAAAAACAAATTCAATATTTAAACGCCCTCGGCAGACGGCACTCGCCCGGGGGCACTCGCCACGCTCCCCACCACCGCATGCACATGGACATGGACCTCTGTCGCGCGCTGTTGACTCTCAAGACTCTGCGTGGCGCGTCGTCGGGGGGACAGCGCGTCCAAGCCCTCGGCACCAGCGAGAGGCAGAACAGGGAGGAGCAGGGAGCGGATACTCGAGCACACCTCTCGCCTGCCAAACGTCAGACGTCAAACGATGCCAGCGGCGGCCGCCTCGCCGCCGCTCTGTTGCGGAGGCAGGTGCTGCGGCGGCGGCTCCGGTGAGTCGACGTCCATCGGCTCCGCCGCCGTCGCCCCCGCGGGCGCGGCGGGCGGCACACCGGCCGCGCTGGCCGGCTCGGACGGCGGCGGCGCGGGCGCTGCGGCGGGCGGCGCGGAGGCGGCAAGACCGGCGGCGGCGGGCGGTGGCGCGTCTCCGCCCGCTGCGGCGGGCGCCTGCGCTGCGGCGGCAGGCTGCGGCTCGGCGGCGGACGGCGTGCCGTTGGACGCCTCGGCAGCCGCTGGGTCGCTCCCACCCGCCGCCGCCGTCTTGTCTGCCGCTCCTGGTGTGTGAGATGCGACGAGCTGAGGGCGGGGTACCGGCATCGTGCGGTGTGCTTGGGAGCGTTGCGTGACTGCGCAAGCTGCAGCGGCGTCGAATGCGATTTACATTTGAACTGGCCCCTCGACGCATCCGTGGGTCCGTGCTGTGTGTCTAGGCTGCCGCACCGGCTATATCTCGCCTATGTCTCGGCGGCCATGTCTCGGCTAGATCTGGGTCGGTGCTCCGTGTCTAGGCTGCCGCACCGGCCGGCGCCGCACCGTCGGCGGGCAGGGACGCCTGAAGGAGCGGAGGAGAGGTGCGGGGGATAAGTTGGGGGGCTAGGGACGGTCGGGAGGGTGAGAGCAGAAGCGAGAAGGGGAGGAGGGGTGTCGGAGAGAGTTGAGAGCCGCCACCACCTCCCTCGCCCCCGACCCCACCACCTCCGCCACCACCGCCACGCCAACCCTCACCTCGGCGGCGGCGGGCGGCGACGGCACAACAGGAGGGTCTCGTGCGGGCGTCGACGCGATCCGCTCCAGCGCCGCCTCTCGCGTCGCGGCAAGCGCGGCCGCACCTGTTCACACCCCTCTGCTTCTCACCGAGTTGTCCTTTATCGCGGAGTGTCGCGGCAAGCTGTAGCCGCGCCGTTCTCGTTCCCCATGACGGTCTCGGACAGCTGCTGCGGGCAGGGGTGGTCGGGCCTACCCGAGAGAGAGCTGCGATGCGAGGAACCGAGCGCTCTCAGCAGCACGGCTCCCGTGGCCACGCCGGAGCTCAGCGAGGGGGAGCGGCGCCGCGCCTAGAGCAAAAGAAGACAGTCACGCGCCGGAAGGTGCGAGCGCAGGCGCGCGTCGCACTCCCGCCGACTCCTGCGACTCGCGGTGACACCCGAGAGACTCCAGAGCTACTGGCACACCGAACCTGCCGTGCGCAGCGTGCGTGCGTGCGTGGTCTGTGCGGTGGTTGATTTGCCGGGGGCATCTAGACTGTGGCGCGCCGCACGCGAGGGAAGTCGCCGCCGCCCAAGCTCGCGTCGCGATCGAAGTCGTGTACCCCCCTCCGCCGAGAAGCAGCGTAGGCCTGCTCACGGCTGCAAGCTGTGAAGAGACGCCGCTCCCGCCTGGCACCGCCGACCAGGCGGCTTCGGCGCCTGCGCAGCGCGAGCACGCATTCCACCGCCTTGCTGTACCCGCCCAGCGTGACGTTCATGCAGCCGAGCCGGTCGCCAGAGAGCAAGCCCGTGCCGGCAAGCAGCACCACTGCAGCAGGCTGGTAGCGGGCGGCCGCCTGAGGAGGCAGCAGCAGCAGGTGAGGCATCTCCCCCCGCAATATCCCGCCACGCTGCCAGCCCAGTCAGGGCGGTGTGTCTGAGGGGAGGGAGGGAAGGGAGGGAAGGGAGGGGAGGGAGGGGAGGGAGGGGAGGGAGGGGAGGGAGGGGAGGGAGGGGAGGGAGGGGGGAGCAGTCCCACCGCCTCGACGACGGGCGGGAGGGAGTGTCTAGGAAGTGTCTAGCGTCTCCAGGAAGCCTCACCGCCTCGACGACGGGCGGGAGCAGGGCCTCGAGGTCGGCGTCGCTGAAGCCGCGCTCGACGGGAAGGTTGATGTTGTGCCCCTTGCCCGCCCGCTCGCCCGCGTCCTTTGCGCCGCCCGAGCCGGGGAAGTAGCCTGCATGGCACGGCCGCGGGCGCTGGAGAGTGGAGTAGTGTGTGGGGAGGGAGCGAGCACTCGGGCCGGGGAGGCAGCAACAGCAAGGCGTGGGATGCGATGCCCGCGGGTTCGTTGCACGCATCTATGGCGCGTGAGACCGTCGCCGTGGCGATGCAGCGAGACGCACATGACGCGGTCGGTGGTGTAGAAGGCCTCCTCGACGCCCGACGCGTGCACCGAGTCCACGTTGATGAAGAGCACACGCTCGACGCTCTGCAGCAGCGTCAGCACGGCCAGCACCACCTATGGCAGGACGTGCCGTGGACGTGTCGTGGACGTGCCCTGGGCTGGGCTGCGCGGCGGCGCGCGGAGCGGCACGTCATTGACGTACGAGAAGCCCGACGCGCAGTCACGCCGCGCGTGCGCCTGGGCGGTCACCAACACGAGGGTGAGAGTTGGGGAAGCGTCATGGTGGCAGCAGCGGCAGCAGTGGCAGCAGCGGGCGCCTGCCCCCCGCTCCAGTTGATGGCGATGTCCGCCTTGCCGGTGGCGAGGAGCTCGGCGGCGTGCATGGATGCGCCCGCGTAGATCTGCGCGTACGGCCTGCGCCACGCCGAGGGGGCGAGGTGGCCTCGGTAGGTGGCTGGCCTCCCGCGGCCGCAGCTTGCGGCAGAGAGCCGCGGCTCGCTTGGGACGGCGCCCGCCATGCCACAGGACACACCACTGCCCACACCGCCGCCGCAGCTACTACCGTGCTTGTGGGGACCCCCATCCGATGAGATACCGCGACGATATCGCAGTCATGGGGAGATTGTCATCTGCTCAAGTGCTAGGCGCGCAGAGGCGCAGAGAGGCGCGGCCGCACCAGGCCGTCTCGCTGAAGCAGACCGAGTTGTTGAGCACGTAGTTTGCAGCCTCATTGGCCACCTCCTTGCCGTGCAGCTCAATCTTCTCGAGAAAGGCGACGTACGCGTCCGTGTGGTAGCGGCGGACCGTCGCGGCAGGCGCTGGCGACCAGCCGTCGCCGCCGCTCCGCACCATGGTCATGTGCTTGTCCAGCCCGCAGTCGACGACCAGGTTGTCGGTCAGCCTGACGGTGTGTGGAGAGGCAGTGGGTGGGCGACGAGGCCTTGCAGGCTGTGCAGAGCTCTGTGCGGGCTCTGTGCGGGCTCTGCGCGCCGGACGGTGTGCGGCTTGCGCAGCGACGCCTCTGGCGACGCGTGCACCCCAATGTGGTCGTCCAGGAGGTAGGTGACCCTTCGTTCTGCTGCAAGGGTGGCGTCCGGCGCGGCTTGTTGCGCTTGCGGTGGTGTGGCTGCGCGACATGCGGGCGGAAGCTTGGTTCTCCGGGCGCCTTTAGGGAGGCAAACCCTGGCCGGCCCCTAGAGCCCCAGGTAAGGCCCAGGCCTAGGGCATCAGAAGGGACCAAGAGGAGTCCAGTCTGAGCCCTAGAGCCCATGTCTTTGCCCCCGAAGGTCGCGTTCAAATGCCCGGAACGGACGTTACAGTGGTGTCCGGCCGGCGCGATCACCGAGCTGTGACGCTCAGGAAAGCCTGATGAGGTACTGGCTTCTTTGCGGATTATCTGAATACTTTTTCCTCGCGGGGAATCCTTTGTTATAGCCGGCTCTACCAGAGGCGTCACTAACTCGTGAAGAGCACCGATGATGTAGTGAGTGAGTGGTCGGAACAACCCAACCAGGACTAATCCGACCCAACCCAACAACCCAACCCAAAAAGCACGATTCTCCTGTTGGGCCCTTTGTGTCATCCAAACACCTAATTCTCTTTTGAGTTCCCTTTTCGCGGCATGTCAGACACATCGGCCTCCTCTGGCCGCCTGTGGCCGCACGTGGTCAGCGGCGTCTCCGGGCGCGTGACCGCGGAGCTCTTCATGTCGCCAATCAACCTCCTCAAGGTGCGGCTACAGCACAACCTCCAGCTGAAGCGGCTGCCCGTGCCGGCGGCGATGCTGCAGCTCGCGCGCGACGAGGGAGCGCTCTCGCTGTGGCGAGGGCTGCCGCCGCGGCTGATGTGGGCGACGCCGCTCAGCGCGGCCACCTTCACCTACTACCAGGCCGCCAAGAAGGTCTCCTCGGGCGAGGCCTCCGACGGCGCCGCCGGGAAGCGCGACTCGCGGATCGTGCTCGCCGGCCCGTTCATGCTCGCCGCCAGCGTGGCGGTGCGGACGCCCTTCGACATTGCGGAGCAGCGGCTGCAGCTGGAGCCACCGGCGACGGGCGCCGACGCCGCGCGCCGCCCGAGCGCCTTTCGTCGCGCGCTGAGCGTGCTGCGGAAGCTGTGGGAGCCGCGCCCAAGATGCTGGAGAGATGCTGGAGAGAGGGAGAGATGCTGGAGAGATGGCCGAGAGAGAGCTGTGGTAGATGCTTGCCAGCAATATACTGCGCTGCTCGACGGCATTCCAGCCCACCACAAATGTGGGCAGTTGCTGCTGCCGCAACGCGCTCGAGCAGCGATGCGCGGCCGCACACAGCATTAACATCTGTGCGAGAGACTTCTACGCTCATCCTCTCCACCTCCACTCTCAGGACGCCGAGGGTCCGCGTGGGCTGTGGCGCGGCTACTCGGCGGCGCTCTGCGGGGTGGGCACCTTCGTGGTGCCGAGATACGCCGAGATACAGCTGAGATACAGCCGAGGTGCAGCAGAGGTGCAGCAGAGGGACAGCCGAGATGTAGATGTGGCGGGCGTTCCTTCACAGCGGTGCCGCCGTACAGGTGGGGTACTTTGTGGTGTATGAGACTGTGCGCAAGCTGCTGCTGCAGACTCCCCTCGGCAGCGTTGACTCGGCCACACGCGCCATCGCGGCCATATCTCGGCCACATCTCGGCTATATCTCGGCCATCTCTGGATTGCAGGCCACGCACGTCATTGCGGGCGGCATCGGCGGAGGCACGACAGCGGCCCTCGCCACGCCGTTCGACACTATCAAGGCCCGCATGCAGACCGGGCTAGATCTTCACTGCATCCGCGCTACCCCCACCCGAGCCGACCCCGAACCTAACAGGTCCGCATGCAGACCAAGATCTACGCGACGGCGGCCGACCCCCACCCGTCGATGCCGGCAGTGTGGCGAGCGACTGTCTCTCAGGCGGGCCGACGACCTCCTCCTCCGGCGGCGTGTTGTGGACGGCGTCTCTTCACGGCCTCCCTGGTGTGAAGCTAGGCGGGCTGGCGCGTCCTCTTCCGAGGCAACCGCCCGCCCCCGCGCACTGGGCCTGGCACTTTCAATGCCGCTAAGGTCTTCGGACGTGGAGCTGCGAGGGCTGCCCGGCCCTCCCCTCGTCACAGACGTATGTGCACAAGGGATTCTCGCCCACCCGCAGGTACTCTCGCGCGGGTCGCGTCCAACGCGCCGTCGGGCGCCATCATGTTTACCGTGTACGAGGCGGGGCACAGGTGGATCGAGGCGAGGCTGGGGTAGAGAGCCGTTGAAAGCAGCAGGCGCGGAGCGGCGGGTTATGAATCGAGACGAGTGTGCGAGTGTTTGCGCGCGCGGCGGGTTTGGCAACGGCCTGGTGCGTGTCGCAGCGAGCGGCGTGCGACCGTTAGTGAGAGTCGGTCAAAACACTAAAACAGAGGGACGCGCTACCGGCCTCTATACGCTCATCGCTCTAGACGCCCTACGGCGTGCTGTCGCGCGGTGTGTCGTGCATTTCCTGTGTGCTGTTCTCGGTTCTCGCGTATTCCGTAATAGAGACATACGATTTTCAGTTTGGGGGACCCTGTCGTTCACGGCCTGACGCCTGTTCCCTGCGTTTTAAAATTCTTCCGGTCATCAAATTCTTCTTCGTGTCGCAAAACATGAGCGGCTCCTTGAGCAACCACTGCACCTCGAAGTGGAATGGCCCCGCCCGACTGCGGCTCTCTCCGAGCGGACGGGCCGCTGGGTCTAGCGTCAAAGCTGCAGGATATGTTGACGCGAGAGCAGGCCAGCCATCGGGAGACGCAGCATGAGCTGAAGATTGAGCGAGCCGCCCACGACGACACGGCTGAGCGGCTAGTGGAGATGCAGCAAAAGCTCGAGGCGACGCTCCAGGAGCTCTCCAATCTCGAGCGCTTTGTCAAGGGTTGCTCCGCCTGCTCCTCCGTTCCCTCAAACACTCCGCCCGAACGCGAGCCGCTACTCAAGGAGGAGGCATACCTCCAGTCCAGGCTGCGTTTCGTGCAGGAGGAGCTTACGAGTTCTGCGTCCACCGCTGTCACCCGGCCCTCATCGGCGAGCATCGGGCGCAAGGGCAAGGCTGCCGCTGCGTCTCCCGGCGATGATGCGCTACGCGCTTGAGCTGCGCGGATCTATAGAGCCTTAGAGCGGATCCTGATCTCCGCGGGGTCACAGTCGCCGCCGTACGTTGAGCATCACTTTTTTGTACACAATCTGCTTCTACGGATGGACGATGCTAATCTCGTGCGCGTGTCGGAATCCGTCGCAAGTACGGCCTCACGTCAGTCATTCTTGCTGACAGCCGCGGGTCGGATGGGTAATTTCTCGCAGCTGCGAGACAAGTTTTCTCGGAGCGACAGCCTCAAAGACAAAAGGGTGGATGGGTGGGGGACGATTGCGGGCGAGCGCCAGCGCGCCCCAGGAACGGTGGGGTGCCCTCGACCGCGCGTCCGAGTCACTTGGGCGGACGAGCGAGCGGCACATGGCCCGACAAAGAGAAATCGGAGTCTGGCGACGAGATCGATAAAAGAATTTAAACAAAACAACTCTCTCTCACAGCATAAAAGAATTTAAACAAAAGAACTCTCTCTCACAGCAGACAGGCTCGACACAGGTGCGAACTGGCGCGTGCTAGTACTATCACCGGCACACCACCGGAGCCGCCTAAGCGACTCCGTTAAGAACGGCAATGCACTTAGCTCCGTGCACAATGCCGCTGTCCCCGCACGCTAGCTCGTTCACCGTCTGCCACGCCACGGCGGTGTGGAGAACGACAGACAAGCGCTGCATCTGCAGCCCGTGCCAGTTCTTGGTGGTCCATGTGACCTCATCGAGGTGCTGAGCGTGCGAAAGTTTGTTACTCAGCTGGTCCGCCGCCTGCCGAAGAATTCTGCGGACGCGATAAAAGAAGTGCAGCGTTTCCTCTGAGGTGCCTCAGAGGTGCACCACACCTCTGAAGGTGTCTTTCAGAGGTGTACTTCAGGAGCAGAGCTGACGTCAGTCTGTGCGCGCTCCCTCTCTCCTCGTCGAACTTGGGAACGATGCGATATCGAGTGCGATGGAGCGCCCCTCGTTGCTTTCACCTCTCAACGGCGACGAGAAGCGGCTCACTACGGTGCCTCAGCGCACAGTGTCGCTCCTCTGTGAGACTGACGCAAAACAGGCCAGCGTTCAGTTGCTCAAGCGCCAGGCACTCGGCGTTTGGCACGCCGACGCCCTGTCCGACGTTGAGAATGCCATTGGCGACCTGCACTTCTGGCCAACGACCTGGTCGAAGGACCCTCGCAGCCATGACTACGACATGCAGCGCCTCGGACGGTCCAAGCGGCTCGACAATCGCGAGCGCTTCGAACTCTTCCGATTTGTGGTTGGCAATGGCGCATCACCCGCTCTGGCCGTCGAACTCCTTGCCGCGTCGGAAAGCCTGCCAGACACGTTCGCCATAACCCAAATGGAAAACCTCGTGAAGAAGGCTGCTGAAGGCAGCTTCTCGAAGTATAAGGCATACATCATGGCGGACCGCAAGTGGGCCCCGGTCTTTTGCGTGCCAGAGCAGAAGCCTCTGCCTCTTGGAGAGTACTGCCCATACGAAGACGCTCGCAAGGTGCTTGCACGGCAGAAGAAGCGCCAATAGGCCGGCTTGCTGGTGTCCGATGGAGGCCGCCATCGCTTAGAGTCGCATGTGGAGCGCCACCGCCACCGTGGGCGATGATCGCTGCCGCCAGCCCGCAGTGCATCCTCCGTTCCTAAATGCATCGTAGTCATCTCCGCCGAGGGCGGCGTCCCATGTCGTCGTTCATGTCACTGCCACGCTACCTCGCATTCAGTGCCGTGCCGTGAGCGCGGCCTGTGCTACGTGTGTGAGCGTGCCCACGGTGTGAGTGGCGGCCTGCTGTTGCGCGCACTCTTGTGTCGTGTGTGTGTGTACAGAGACCACGCGCCAAGCCAGCGCACATGCTAAGCGCACTGCGTTGTCTGTTTATGAGCTCTCTAGAGCATGGTCGTTCCTAAAGGCGCAGCTAGGCGCAGCTAGGCGCAGCCGACACATGGGATGGACATGGCAAGCACATGCGACATGGCATGAACAGGGCAGGCACGATTCGCGCATCTCGACACACGACTGCACAGGCGACACTACGTCGCGCAAGGGTGCAGCGGCTGTGGTCACGCACATCGCGCCCGATCCCTCCTCCTAACGCGACGCCAGCTAAGGCATCAGTGCATGCATCGCTCTCCCTGTCCGCGCGGGTGCGCCGGTCGGGCGCTGGTGGGGCGCCGTCCTACGACCGGCGAGCCCCGGCAGAGGGGTGGAGCTCTCTACTGAGCCGCCTTCCCCGACGGCGGCGGACCGGCCCGGGCGCCACGGCGCCGCAGAGGCGGCAGCGGGGACGGCGTCAATGATGGCGTGCCTCAGAGGCCGCCGGTCGATGCGTACGTCTTGCTCGAGTTGACCCCGCGCGAGGTGCCTGGCGATGACAGCCAGCGGTTGCGCAGCTCGAGGAGGCGCAGAACCACGAAGATGTGGCGCGCCTCGTTCATGTGCCGCAGTGTGTGCTTCGATCGGGCGAGCCAGGCGAAGGCCTGAGAGCTGAGATGAGTGGGTGGGTGCGGTGCGAGGCTCGACGCCTGCTGTGAGTGCAGGGTGCGGCTCGACATCGCCTGCTCCGCCGCCTCAGTGTTCGTGCTCTTGTGCAGCAGCTCACACTTTTTGGGATTGCAGTACTTCGCGCAGAACTTGGAGTCGACGTGGTTCCTGGCAGGGGCGCGGGCGTGTCATTGTACGAGGTGCTACTTAGCATACGAGCGGCAGGTGGTGCTAGGCTGGCCGGAAGTGGAAGCGATCGACGACGATCATCATCGACTTGAGCAGCCACTCAGCAAAGGTCGAGCCTTTGTGAGGTATCCGGCATGGGCCGTAGCTAGGGAGGGGCTTCGCTGCCTGAGGCACGCAGAGTGCCCACTCTGCACGTTACGCTTGCACAGCGACCGATGGTCCATGATGCGCTCGACCATGTAGACGTTCTTTTCTGCCGCATCGAGCGGCGCATTCGGGCTCTCGGCGTCAGCCGCAGCCACTGCTTCTGCCTCGGCCCGCTCCTGCTCCGCCCGGCTGCGGGTGAAGTACCCCCGGCCGCCGCCGCCGCCGCCGCCGCCTCTGCCGTCGCCGCCGTCGCCGCCGTCGTCGCCGCCGCCGCCGCCACTGCCGCCACCACCGCCGCTATCGGCAGTGTCGCGGGCCTTCCCGCCAACGCCTCCCATGCAAGCACCAGCGCTAGCGCCGCGGGCGCGCTTTAACCACCTCTCAGGACTTGTCGGCCGGGACGCCTTCGGAGTCGTCGGACGGGTCGCCCTCCGAATACGAAACGGAGTCCGAGGTGGAGAAGCCCCCCAAGTACACTTGCTCCCTCTGCAGCGAAAAGGGGCACACGGCCTACAAAACTCCTCGGAATGGCAAGAAGTCGATTCACGAGGAGCGGTACATCAGCTGCATGCAACCACCGCATGCACGGGCAACTTTGGGCGAGCGACAAGGGCCCGGCGCCGCCGATTACTGGGGGCAAGGGCAAGGGCAAGGGCAAGGGCAAGGGCAAGGGCAAGGGGCGCGGGTAAGCGAAAAGTCGGGGTAATCCATCGCGATCGAGCCCGAGACCTTCTCTTCGACCTTCTCGCGGGACCGTGACCTTCTCGGGAGGTGGTGGCCATACAACATGTCACACGAGGTCGAACGATGTTCCCGCGTCTTTCCTTTCTTCAGATGTCTGTGTTTTAAGTGTGTGGATCTCGCGATGGTTGCAACTGAAAAGACCTCCAAGCCCTGGGAGCCCTCCCCCTACTGTAATAATAATAACGGGCACCTCTACCAGGAGATGGGTAAAAAGGAACAGGTTCCCACCCGTGCGATCTTTGTGCATGCGGGGAGGGGTCTTTGTGGCTTGTGGGGGGTGGTCGGCGCACGGCGGCTAGCCGGGGTCGCAGCCCAGGATGCGCGCGCATCCTGGGTTGCTTCATGCATCTTGGGCCGACGCGGACCAGCGACCAGCTGAGGCGGCCCGTAAAGCCGTACCGGGCGGCGAGACGGGCGAGCCGCGAGCGCGCCGAGCGAGCGCGGTGACCGGTGTGAGTGTGAGCGGTGTGCCGTGTGCGGGGTGTGCGCGGCCCGGCCTGCCCCGGCCGCCCGCGCCAGCCGTAATTTTTGGCGCCCTTGAGAATAAACAAAACCCCGAGTGTAAGTGAGAGAGAGCGCGTGAGAGTCGTCGGTGCCTCGGATCTCGCCGAGCTCGAGCGAGAGAGCGACACCGGAGAGAGCAGAGAGAGAGAAGCGGGGAGTGCCAGCGCAGACACTCTCCGGACACGCGCGACCCCTCTCGCACGAGCAAGGGGGGGGGGGGGGGGTGCCCCCTAAGAGGATGCAGAGAGGGCTGCTAGCGGGAAGGGGCCAGGGCGGCAGCAGCGGCGTATAAGCGCAAAGGAGGGCGGCGCGCACGGCGGCACATCAGCAGCAGCCGCCCTGCGAGCTGCCCTCGCCGTCGAGGGAGCGGCCGGTGCCGTAGCCGGTCGTGTTTGTCTGCGTGAGCATCTTGCTCTTGATCTCGGAGGAGATGAGCAGGAAAGCCGTGTCGACGAACGCGCCTGGCGAACGTGTCGCGTGGACGCGTCGGCGGCGCGTCCCGTGGGCTGTGTCGCGTGGGCTGCGTCGCGGGCGCGGCGGTGCGGGCGGAGACGCTCAAGGCCGTGGTGAGGTCTTGCAGGCCGGAGGCGGTGGGACGGAATGGCGAGTGACGGAGCGGGAAGGTGCTCGGTGGTCCCGGGAGTCTCTCGGAGACGCCTCCGGAGTCTCGGAAGCGTCTCTGGAGCGTCTCGGAAGCGTGCGCGGACCCGTCTTCGCCGACGCCTCGAGGAACTGGACGCCGAGCTCGTCCGCAAAGTTCTTGCCCTCCTGCTTCTGCACGGCGCGCAGCTCGTTGTCGTCGGCGAGGTCCGCCTTGTTGCCTGCGGCGGCCGGGGTGCGGGGCGCTGAGCCGGACCAGCCGCGCAGGCTTGTTGGGAGGGCGTCACGAGGTGGAGGAGAGAGGCGAGGGGGGAGAGGGGAGAGGGGAGAGGGGAGAGGGGAGAGGGGAGCGAGAGCGAGGAGAGAGGGGTGGGGAGGGCAGGAGTGGAGAGGAGAGGAGGCAAGAGGAGAGGCGAGGCGAGAGGGAGAGGCGAAAAGAGACGTGAGAGGAGAGAGGAGAGAGGAGAGCAGAGGAGGCGAGGAGAGGAGAGGAGAGAGGAGAGGAGAGGAGAGGAGAGGAGGAGAGATGGGAGGGGAGGGGAGGAGGTAGAGAGAGGCGAGGGGAGCGGCGCGCACCGACAAGCAGCTTGTTGACGTTCTCCCGCGCGTACTTGTCAATCTCCTTGAGCCACCGCTTCACGTTGTTGAACGACTCCCGGTTGGTGATGTCGTACACGACGATGATGCCGTGGGCGCCGCGGTAGTACGTGCTGCTGATCGTCCGGAAGCGCTCCTGCCCCGCCGTGTCCCAGATCTGCAGCTTTATGTTTTTACCATCGAGCTGCACTGTGCGGATCTTGAAATCCACTCCAATCGTACTGATGTACGAGTCGGTCCATTTGTCGTCCTGGGGCCGAGCAGGGCGAGGCTTGGCGCGGGGTGCGCGGGGGTCGCGATGCCGCGTGCGGAGCTCTGCTGCAGAGCAGGTGACGCGCCGCAGCGGTGAGGACTGTCTGCCGCAGAGGCGAGGGCCGCCCAGCGTGCGGTGCGGCGCGCGCACCGCGAAGCGCAGCAGCAGGCAGGATTTTCCGACACCCGAGTCGCCAATCAGCACGAGGATGAAGAGGTAGTCATCTGGGGGAGGGGATGTATGCTGTGAGCGCACAAGCCGCCCGTCTGCGGCCCGCCGGCTGCGCCGCGAGTGCCGTCCGCCCTGGGCGCCGCCGCGGGGGCGCGCACGCGCAAGGGGGGGAGGGAGGGGGTCGGGGAGCACGCGCACAGTCGGGTTTCATGAAACGCCTCGACGCCGGCGGCGCGTCGGTGTGTCGCGCCGGCGTACGCCGAAAAGGAGGAGGTGGAGGAAAAAAAGTCCTCGGCGCGCAACTTTAAGAGGCGATCTTTCCGAATCGTGTCGGTCCTTCGAACACGCCGTACGCCACCCTAGGGTTCGGCACGTATTTTCCATCCTCCGCCATTTTGTCTTGATGGTCCTTTCCTCCGTCCGTCGCCGCAAAGTGTGTGAACTGGTGTGAGACGTCAGCTGTTGTGAGTCGCAACAAAATGTGGAAGGTCCAGTCCGCGAGGCACACCGTCGAGTTTGTGCCAGCCGCGGCGTCGCCCGTCTCGCTGGGACGGCTCGACGGCATGCCTCGCTGTGTCTCGCGGCGGCAGGCCACGCTCGAGCCCGAAGAAGGAGGGTAAACACACAAAAAGTATTATCCGAAGCGTGTTGGGGCGCGGACGGCTTGTTGGCGAGCCAAATTGGTTATGTCCGAGGCGCTGCGCTGGCTCAGAGCGAGTTTGCGCTGCGCTAGGCTCACAGTACACCATGCAGAGTACACAAACGACGAGAGTGTGCTGCGTCTGAACCACACACAGCGTGTCCCGCTCCATAGTTTCTCTTCTTATCCGTTACCATGTAGAGCAAGGTCGAGGGCGGGCCCTCTCGGGCTCGGGCCGCCCTCTCGCCCGCACCTCTGCGGGGCTTGCACGTGGCAGCGGCGGCTCAAGATCCCAGCGATCTCGAGTTCTTCACGCTATCCACTGCGCCGCGGCTTCGCCGCGCCCATCCAAGCCCAGGGCTTGGTTTGCTGATACCCGCATCTCGCTCTGCGCATCTCTGAGGCTACCCGCGCGCCGACTGCTACGCGCGCGGCGAGAGGCGCACCCCATCGGCGGCGACCATTGCGGCGGGGTGGTTTCGCGTACGAAGCGACGATGGCACGACCACCTCCCTGCATCAAAGACCAGGCAAGGAGGGGCCTTCTCGTGTTCCGCGGGGAACAGGAGGTCTCCCGGCATGAGCAGCTACGGGAGGAAGGCAGCCCCTTCGAGGTTGGCAGGCGAGAGTCTGCGGGGCTCGCAAGCCGAGTCTCAGCCACACGCCCCCCGCACCTGTACTCCACCAATCTCAAGGTGAAGAGATCTTATCGGCCAGACGGGCAGGGCAGGCGGGCAGGCGGGCGGGGTCTCTCGCGGCCTCTCCCCCCTTCCCCTTCCCACTGCGCTCTGTTGGTTCCTCTATCCATCTACAGCGAGGGTGGTGGTACCCAAAACCCGCCATAAAAACGGTATGGCGGTGGAGTGCTCTCTACTGCCGCGGCGCCCCTGTCGGTTCGGAGGCGCCCGGCGGCCGCGCGCTTGGTGCCGACGTCGACCGGCTGCTCTCGCGGCGCCGAGACGTGCCGCTTTGGTCACGTCTCGCGCGCTGCGAGGTGTCTTTTGGCATGTGAGCGCTGGCTAGAGACGCCAGGAAGCTTGTCTTCCATGTCTGCGGCCGGGGGGAGGCGAGCGGGCGGGCACGCCAGGCTCGGCGACGCTCTGCGCGGGTCTTCGAGCTCGCAGCCCGCGACGAGCCAGCATGGCTCGTCGCTCGACGGGAGCCTGCTCAGAATGCTCTCGGCATTCTGGACAGCCTCGCCAAGCTCTCTGGAAAGGTCCGCAGGGCCAGGGCGGGCCGTATCGGGCGCGATGGCGCGCTCAGAGTACCATGCCTACGAGCTCTCCGATCGGGCCGCCGGCAGCGGGCTTGCGCGGCGCGCCGCTCGACGGCAGGCTGCTCCCCACCCTTCCAACAGTGTCTTTTGCCTCGCTTCTATCGCTGCAACCGCCTCCGGGGGCCGGCGCCGGCCGCCTCGCTTCGCCAGCGCTGCCTACGCCTACGACACGCGCATCGGCTCGCCGCCCGCGTCGCCTGCGGCGGGCCCGCGTGGCGCGCCGCTCGTCGGGAGCGTGCTCAGCAGGCTGTGCAGCGCAGCCTGACTCACTCAGAGCGCCGCTGATGCGGCGTGGGGCCGGCGGCGGCGCTGCTGCCGCGCACGCTGCGCTGTGGGCGTCACCATCGTGTCCTCGCCGCGTCGCCGACGCCCCTTGCCGCTCGCGGCTGCCCTGCCCTTCCCTGCCATCGCGCAAACACACACACACACACACACACACACACACACACACACACACACACACACACACACACACACACACACACACACACACACACACATATTAATCATTGGGTAATAATTATTAATTATTAATCATCGGGCGGCGGCGCGGCGCGGCGGCGGGCGGCGCGAGGCGGCGGCGCGGCGAGGCAGCGGGCGACGCAGGGAGGGGCGGCGCGGCGGCGGGGGGGGGGGGGGTATTACTTATTTGTTAACTAGCTGAGGGGCTCGCTAAACGCTCGCCGAGCTCTCCATGCTGTACAACACCACCTCCTCACTAATCGTCAGGGGCGCGGAGAGCGCAGTGCACTGCGGTGAGGCTGCGCCGCGGGGGCTCGCCCCCTGCACCGCGCTCAGAGCGGCGTAGGGGGGAGAGGGCGGTCGGTGGCGGCGGCGGCGAGGCGCGAGGCGGTGGCGGCGGTGGTGCGGGCGGCGGGATGACAGGGGAGGCGGCGGGATTGACAGGGGAGGCGGCGGCCACGAGCGGAGCGGCGCGAGAAGGGGGGGGGGCGGCGGCGAGGCGCCGGTGAGCGAGGCGCCCGCGCCATCAGAGGGACGCGCCGCTGCGAGATGGAGGGCGGCGGTGACGGAGGCGAGGCGCGAGGCGGCGGCGGCGGCGGCGGCGGCGGCGGCGGCGGCGGCGGCGAACGGCGGCACCGAGTCTCGGTGAGCGGCGGCGGGAGGAGGAGCAGCGGCGGCGCTCGCTCGCTGTTGACGGGAGCGCTTTTGAGCCTGGGAGCCCATGCCACTGCGACCGGCGTGCCCGGGAACGGAGATCGCGCGCGCGCCGCCACTCACGACGCGCGCGCGATCTTCGCGGAGTCGGGTCCCCAGAGGGAAGCGGTCTTCTCGGCCGACGTCCAGCGGCGCGCAAGGAAGCAGGCGCAGCGGAGGCGGCCTAGCACCGGCTCGGCGCCGTCCGGCTTGCGCTGCCCGCGAGCCGCGTCCTGAGCCTCGGCAGCGCGCTGCGCGGCGCGGCGCTCGCGCCGCTGCTGTGCCGAGAGCGGCATGATGGTTCGCCAGCTGAAGCTCGAGACTCCTCGGTACCACGAGTTCCTCCGGTCACGGGGATAAACGGCGGAGGACGGGGGCCTTATATCTTTAGATTAATTATTAATTAATAATCATCGGGCGCCGGCGGGCAGAAGATTCCATTTCAGTGTATGTGGCTCTTACGAACATACCCGTAGGTGAACTGCTGACAGGGTTTGCGATGAGGAGCGATCCGAACGTGGTATTCGGGTGATTAGATCACTACCGCCGAGGGCCAGCGAGCCACGAGGCCTTGCACGGTGAGAGCCAGCTGGGCCGAAGCCGCGGTCGAGGGAGCGGCAGCGGCTGCCTCAGTCCCAAGGAGCCGCCCCACCACGTGCGCCGCGATGGCGCGCGCCGACGGCTCGTCAAAGATGAGCGTCGGCGCGAGGGCGGCGCCCGTGGCCTCTCGGAGGCGGCTCACGGCCTCTGTAGCTCCGAGCGAGTCGATGCCCGCCTCCATGAGCGGCGTGTCGGCGGTGAGGCCGCCTGCGCCGGTGAGGCCCTCCAGCACCGACAGCACGGCCGCCTCGACGTGCGGCTGGCGCGCCGCGGGAGGCAGCCGCGAGAGTGCCCTGCCCATCTCGCTCTCCACCGCTGGCACGGCGGCGGCGGTGGCGGCGGCCTCGTGCGACGGCGCAAAGGCGGAGAGCGCCTTTGGCACGACCGGGAGCAGGCCGAGGAAGCGGCTCCAGTCGACGAGGAGCAGCATCTCCACCGCGGGGCCGGCGGCGCCGAGGGAAGACGCCAGGGCGGGGGCAGCCTCGGCCATGGTGATCAGTCCAAAGCCGGACGCCTGTATCCGCGCGTTGATTGACTCCTCCGCCGCCATGCCAACCTCGCCCCACGGGCCCCACTGCACCGACGAGGAGGCGAGGCCGCCAGCACGCCGCAGCGCGCTCGTGGCGTCGAGGCAGCAATTGGCAGCTGCGTAGTTGGCCTGGCCAGCGCTGCCGAGCAGGGCCGCCACCGACGAGAAGAGCACGCACGCCTCGAGCGGCGAGGCGGCGCTCGCTCGCTGCAGGACCCAGCCGCCGACCGCCTTGGGAGCATACACGCGCCGGAAGGCCTCCGCCGTCTGGGAGCGGAGCAGGCCGTCTGCTAGCACGCCCGCCGCGTGCCACACGCCAGCGAGCCGCGCGCCACCATCGCCGCCAGCAGACGCCCAAGCAACCAAGCGTCGCACCTCCGCCTCCTCGGCCGCGTCGCACGCCGCAGCCCGCACCGCGCAGCCAGCCAGCGAGGCGAGGCGAGCGCTCTCTGCCGGCGCCACCCGCCCGCCCCGAGAGGCGAGGACCAAGCCCGCCGCCCCTCGATCGCCGAGCCACTTGGCGACGAGCAAGCCGACGCCGCCTGTGCCGCCCGTCAGCAGCTGGAGGCCGCCCACGCCCCTCGAGCCCTCTGGCGGCGCGTCGAGACGGCTCAGCCGCGGCACCCTCGCCCCGCCGTAGCTGGCCACGGCCTCCGGCTCGGTCGGCGGCAGCGCCGAGGCCACCGCCACCAGCTCCGCCGCCGAGAGTCCGGCGCCGTCGACGTGCGAGAGGCGGCTGCCCGGCGCCTCGGCTCTCGCCGTGCGGGCGAGGCCGAGGAGGCCGGCGTGCGAGGGGCACACGCGTGCGGCGGCGCTGCAAGGCTGCGATCCGCCGCTACTGAGCAGCCACGCAGGGAGAGGCTGCGAGGCAGGCTGCGAGAGCACGAAGCGGAGGGCCGCCTCGACCGCAGGCAGCGCCGAGGCCTTGGAGGCGGTGGCGAGCGCGACGGTGGCGGCGCCGGCCTCGAGCGGGAGAGGCGCGGTTGGGAGTGAGATGACCGGCCTGGCGTGGGCGCCGAGGACGAGCGTGGGCGGTGCAGCAGCCGGGGCAGCGACGAGCGGGACGAACTCGGTGACGTAGCTGTGAGAGCGAGCAGCAGCCTCTACACTCGCAGCAGCCGCCTCGGCGCTTGGAGCAGCCGCGCGCCACGCGAAGCGGCGGCGGGCGTAGGCGAGTGGTGGCGGGCTGCTCGGGGTGAGAGACGGAGGTGCCGCCTCGAGCACGGCGTGGGTGATGGTGCCGCCTGCGCCGAACGAGCTCACGCCGCCGAGCCCTCTCTCTGCGATGGAACTAGGCATTGCAGTAAGTTGCGCTGGCACCACCCCAGCCGTGGTACTTGCCATGACCGCCGATACGTGCGGGTTCATCTTGCACAGCTGTGCATTTGGCGGGGCCTGTCCCGTCATCAGCTCCAAGGTCAGGCATGCCAAGCCGCATGCACCCGCCGCGGGCTCGCCGTGCCCATAGTTGGCCTTGCTCGAGCCGATTAAGACCGGAGCAGCTTCTGGCCTTTGCGCCAGCACCGCAGCCGCCAGCGAGCGCACCTCAATCGGGTCGCCGAGCGGCGTACCGGTTCCGTGCGCCTCATAGGCTGAGAGCGCCCCCGGCAGGGTCGAAGCGTCAGCCAGAGCCGCCGCTACGAGTTGCCGCTGCGCCTGGCCGTTGGGAGCCGTGAGCGAGGCTGACCTGCCGTCTTGCTGCACCGCACTGCCACACCAGACCGGCACCGATGCACCGTCAGCTGCCTGGATCGCCATTGCGTAGCATCCCTCGCCGCGCGCGTAGCCGTCCGCGCGAGCGTCGAAGGTGTGGCAGCGGCCCTTTGCAGAGGTCATGCCAGCCATGGCAAAGGCCGCGCTAACGCCCCGTGAGAAGACCATGTTGACGCCGCAAGCAAGCGCCTGCTCGCACTCCGCGCTCTGCACTGATCGTGCCGCGTAATGCGCCGCCACCAGCCCGCTCGAGCAGGCCGTGTCGATGCTGAGGCACGGGCCCTGCAAGCCAAGCGCAAACGAGACGCGCCCGCACGTCATCGAGCACCCAACCGCGGTTGCCGCATACACACTCCCGGCCTGCTTGCTCTGCTGAAAGACCTCCTGATACTCGGGCGCCCACATGCCGAGAAAGACGCCGGTGAGCGAGCCAAGCAGGCCCGCCTTGGCAAGGCCGCACCCGTGCAGCGCCTCGTACCCACCCTCGAGCGCCAGCCGCTGAGCCGGGTCCATCGCCGCAGCTTCTGCGGGCGAGATTCCAAACAGGGCGTTGTCAAAGAGATCCGCGTCCCGCAGGAAGCCACCGTGGCGCTGCCGCTCAAGCAGCTGCGGGGAGGTGCCGAATCTCGAGGTGTCGTTGATGTCCCAACGAGTGACGGGGACGAGCCTGAGAGCGTCCCTGCCCGTTGCGATCGTCTGCCACATTTTTGTTCGCCCGTGCGACCCACCAGGCCCGCGCAACGAAAGGCACGGCATCTGAACCGAGGCGGCCACGGGTCGGCGCTGATCGCCGACAGCGATTGGGGCCGCTGCCTCCTCCTCTCCGCCCATCAGCTGCGCGAGAGCCCGAGCAGTCGGGTACTCAAAGATCAGCGTCGCCGGGAGGGTATTGTCGCCGGCCGACGCCTGCAGCTGGTTGCGCAGCTCGACAGCCCCGAGCGAGTCCAGCCCAGCCTCCATCAGCGGCGCATCAGCATCGACATCAGAGCCAGCCGTTGACCGGACCATGCCGAGGATAGCATCGAGGGAGACAGCGTTGCGCACAGCGGCGGGTGTGGCAGGGGAGCCCAGCGCAGGCGCAGCGACGGCGGGCTTGGTAGGCGTGAAGAGCGACAGCATCGCCGGCACCGCCGCAGCTCCGCCCAGAAGCCGTTCCCAGCGGACGATGAACATCCCTTGCACAGCTGGGCCGATTGCGCCGAGCGCAGAGGCCAAGGCGGGACGAGCGCCAGCGACGCGAAGCAGGCACCCTCGCGCCCTCCTCGCTACACACACAGACACACATGCCCGCCCTCTCCTTCCTGTGCGCCCTCCCCTTCCTTAGCTAGTCGAGCTCTCGTCGCAGGCGACCATCAAGGCCACCCCTTTACTGATGGGCGCAAGAACGAGTGCGACCTCGCGTGCGCGCGCTGGCTCGTGAAGAGCGCGCGCCCGATCACCTTGCCCGAGCGCGACCTGCCCTTCCGCGATTTCATCGAGACGCTGACCCGCGGCGCGTGGTCGCCGCCGAACCACCACAACATCAAGGACAAGATCCTGCTGCTGTCAGCCAAGGGGCAGCTGCGCTTCCAGCACTGGTTCCAGGCCATGGTCGTGGCGGGCGTCAAGCCGTCGATGGCGGGCGACATTTGGTCGCACGGCGGGTGCTCGCTGATGGGCATCTGCTTCTACGGCATCAACGACTCCTGGAAGATGGACGAGTGGCTCGTCGCGGCCACGCCCTTCGGCTCCACGCGGCACACGGGCGAGGCCATTGACGAGATCTCGGCGGCCGCGCTGCGCCGGCAGGGCGTCCAGTGGCGCGAGAACGGCACCGTCTACGAGGCGGTCCACGGCCGGCATCCATCGCTCCACGGCCGGCATCCAGGACCTGACCAAGATCCAGGAGAGCAACGGCCTACCTAGGTACCGTTGAAGCAGCCGGTGAGCGACGTCGTGACCCGCTGGTTCTCCTCGTACGAGATGATGGACTGGTTCCGCGAGCAGAAGACGGCGGTGCAGATGTACGATATTAAGCACGGCGCCGACGCCGCCAAGAACGCCAACGGCGACGCGTACAAGGCGAACCGGCTCCAGCACATCGACTGGGACACAGTCGGTGGCGGTGCTGTTGCCGAGCGCGCAGGCGACCAAGCACCTTGAGGGCACCACGTATGTCACCTCCTCGTTGGCGACACGAAGATCTTTGCCGGTGTGCCGTCGGACCCCTCGGGGGTGGGGCGCATGGGGGCGTTCGTCGCTTGCGGCAACACGCTGCCACGCGCCCGCGAGACGGTTTTGGGCGTGGAGGGCGGGGACAGGGGCGGGAGGGTGGGGAGGTGGGACCCGCGGACGGGGTCCGGGACGGTCGAGGCCGTCAAGGGCCAGTACACGGACGCAGAGGGGAAGTGCCGTGTAGGCGCTCGGAAAGCCCAAAAGCAATTTGGCCTCGTGCGGCCATCTGTTCCCGCACTTCCCATCCCGCCCCACACTAGCCACTGCCGGCGACGCGCCAGTCCGCACCTGTGTCGAGCCTGTCTGCTGTGAGAGGAGAGTTTTGTGCCAGTGCGCGCCAGTCCCGTGCCCAGTGTCGTGCGAGGGAGCTCGGTCGTAAAGTTCTTTTCCGTGTACCTGTGTTAGTGCCAGTGCGCGCCAGTCCCGTGCCCAGTGTCGTGCGAGGGAGCTCGGTCGTAAAGTTCTTTTCCGTGTACCTGTGTTAGTGCCAGTGCGAGCCAGTCCCGTGCCCAGTGTCGTGCGAGGGAGCTCTGTCGTAAAGTTCTTTTCCTCGCGCGTGGGAGGGAGGTTGGTCGTAAAATTCTTTTGATTTGCTCGCGATCCAACGCAGCCAAGAAATACCACTCTCTCGCGACTAAGAGAGCCCCTGCGCAGGCCCCCCAGGCCTCAGCGCGAATTCACTCGTACGTATTGACCCCCCGCGCGCTAATCGCACACGCCGCCCACCGCGAGCGCCAAATCGCTCGATGTGGCGGGCGTCTCGCGCAGCTCGAGCTCGGGGAAAAACTCTGCCGCCGCAAACACCGCCTCCTTCATCAGAGTCGCTCCTCGGGCGCCTAGAGTCGCGATCGCTAGCTCACCAGTGTGCTCCACAGCTGTCATCCGCCACCAGTGGTGCTCGCGCGCCTGAGCCCGAGCGAGCAGCAGGAGCCGGAAGCCGCTGCCGGCACCGAGAGCAGCCTCCTCCCCCTCCTCCCGACCCGTGGGCACGAGCTGCATCAGGAGAGAGCAGCCCGCGCGCCGCGCCACCGCCGAGCGCGCGCTGACGTCGAACCACGCGCTCAGAGGCACGCCTCCGCCGCTCGCCCCTTCCTCTCCCTGCGGCACCGCAGCGGGCTCGTCGGCCAATGGTGGCACCCTCGGCTCATCCCAGCCAACCTCGATCAACCTCGGCTCATCTCGATCAATCTCGGCTCATCTCGGCCACTCTCGGCTCATCTCGCCTCGTCCGCCGACGGCAGCATCTGCTGCAGCTGGCACGCGGCGGCATGGAAGAGCGCCGGCGGCAGAGAGCGAGGCGGCGGCGATCCGCGAGCGTGTGCGTCGAGGAAGGCGCGCAGCTCGGGCGCCTCCGCGGCGGAGGTGAGCAGCAGCGCAGAGAGGTAGGCGGTCAAGCCAGCCGTGCGCCTTGAGGGGCGTGATGGGTGTGTGAGCCTCACGTGAAGACCGACGGCTCGAACGCGGCGGCAAGGGTTGGGATGCGGCCGAGGGAATGCCCGGGAGAATGGTCCGTGCATCTCGGTGCCGCGCGCCTCTCGATGGCCTCGGCGCTCTCCGAGCGGCCGAGCGAGCGGCCGAAGGAGAAGCTCGGCTCCGCGGGCAGAGAGAGGCCTGCGGGGGGCGCCACGGAGGAGGCGGTGAGGGTAGCTGGCCGCGCGCAGCCGAGGGAACAGGCCTGGCACTTGGCCGCGGCGGAGGGAGGAGGGCCTCGGCCAGGGAGGGCGAGAGGGCCTCGGCCAGGGAGGGCGAGCGCCTCGCACGGCCCAAGGGCAGCTCTTGCTCAGAGCGGCGTGCAGCGCCTTGAAGTCGCGATAGGCGCGGCCGATGGCGTATGCGCCGCCGCCGCCAGACATCTCGACCCGGACCTCAAAGGCGACGGGGGTGGAATCGGCCGGCCGGGCCCGTCTCGAGGAGACGGACGCCGATGCCACCGCCGAGTCGGCCGCGGGGGCCCACTCTCGCCTCGTCATCCAGACGGCGGCGCTGCTCCATCCCTGGCGCGACGCGGTGGAGACGTGGGGCGGCGGCGGCGAAGGGGAGGCAATCAGCGCGGGAAAGGCCCACCCATCGACGCCAGACGCCTCCTCCTCGTCGCCTCCGCAGCTCTGGTCCCCTTCTTCTCCGTCCTCGCCCCCCGCATCCGCGCCGCTCCCCTCGCCGCCCCCCTCCCCCTCGCGACTCCCCTCCCCCTCGCCGCTCGCGCAGCCGCTGAGGAGAAGAGGGAGGCAGACGCCCGCCGCCCAGCCCGCCTCTGCGGCGAAGCCCCCCCCGCCGGGCAGCGAGCGCAGCGCCGCCTCGGACACGAGCCCGCCCTGCGCAGCGGCCAGCTGCGAGACGGAGCCGAGGGTGCGGAAGAGCCAACCGGCGTCCGAGCAGACAAAGGCGGGAGGACCAAGGCTGCGGGGCGGCATGCACACCACCGCGCCGCGCCTCTCGAGCGAGCGCACCTCGCGGGCGAGCGTGTCGCCGTCCCACTCTGCGAGGCCCCACTCCGCAGTCGCCAGCTCGAGGAACTCCGCCCACCTCCACAGCGGCGCGCGCTCCACCGCGTCGTCCGCAAGCGCGGCGAGGATGGCGGCCGCGAGGTTGGACTCGGGCGGCGCGGCGGCGGCCAGGCTGCGCGCCTCCGCCTCCAGCTCTCGCCGGAGCAAGTCGGAGCCCGGCGCGGCGAAGAGGGCGCGCGCCTTGTCCCACCCCGTCGCCGCCCCGCCGCCGCTCGGGAGGACCACCACGCGAAGCAGCGAGAGGTGGGGGTGGCGCGCCGCCAGCCGCGCGCGCAGCCCCTCCGGGTCGGCGAGGCCGACGCCGGCGGCGAGCGCCTCGTCGGCGTGGCTGAGGAGCAAGAGCACGGAGCGCGCGCCGCTCACCGCGCCGAGCACGCCCTCCGCCGCCGCGATGGGGCGGGCGGCGGTGAGTCGCGCCCCGACGACGAGCACGGAGCTGTCCGGGTCGAGGCAGCTTAGGAAGCGGTCGCCGAGCGGCGGGGGCGCGGCGTCGCTCCCGCCGGCCGAGCGCACCCACACGTGCGCCTCGACCGCCTCGGGCAAGCTGCCGAGCCCCGCAGCCGCCCTCTCCGCCACCGCCTCCTCCGACTCGCAGGAGCTCGTGCCGGCGCTCGCGGCGTCGGCAGAGGCTCGCTTTGGCGCGTCGCCGCCCTCTGCGGCCGACGCCTCGCTCGCGGGCAGCGAGAGTCGCGCCGTGAAGGCGCACAGCCGCGGCGGCGTCTCGAGAGGTCCGGGGTCGAGGGCGGCCCGCGCCATCGCGTGCAAGTTTGCGCCGCTGCTCGCCTCGACACAAACCACGTGCAGCCGCGCGCTCCCGCCGCCGCCGCGGCGCGTCCCCTTTGCACTCTCGGCGACGTGGTGGCGAAGCGACGCGACGCCGCCGGCGGCGGCGGCGGCGAGCGGCGGCGGGAGGAGGTTGTCGTCGAAGCGGGCGGTGGCGAGGCGCGGCAAGGCGAGCAGCGAGCGCGGCAGCGTCTCGAGGCGGTTGTGGCGCGCGTCGATGTGCGCGAGGGAGGGGGCGGCGGCGACGGGAGGCAGCCGCGGCCCGAGCAGGTTGTGGCTGGCGCAGAGAAGCGTGAGCTGCGGGAGGGAGAAGAGGGCGCGCGGCAGCGAGGTGAGCTTGTTGTGCGCGACGGAGAGCGAGGTGAGGCGGCGGAGCTGCTCGAGGCCGGCTGGCAGGGCGGCCAGCTGGTTGTGCGAGAGGCCTGCTCACAGGCCAGAGGCGTGGAGAGGGGGAGGCGCGCGAAGCAGGGCGGTCGGCTGGCTGAGGGCCGAGCGTGGTGAGCGACGCGAGGCCGCCGATCGGGGGGAGCAGGCCCAGCCGGTTGTGCGTGAGGGAGAGGTCGGTCAGCGAGCCGAGGGCGAGCAGGGCGGGCGGCAGGAGGGCGAGCTTGTTGTGCTGCAGGCCGAGCCGCGTGAGGGTGGGCCCGAGCGCGAGAATCGGCGGCGCGTGCGGGCGTGGGCAGGGCAGCTCGCTTAGGCGACAGCTGACCACGCAGCCGCTGTTGTGGCATGGTGCATTTCTCGCGCTCTCTGGTGGTGTACTGGCGTTCGGTCCGGAGTGGCATGGTGCGCAGATGACAGTGGCGCGTGCTCTGGTAGTGACTGGTGTCGCTCGGGGGCCACACGGAGACGTGTGTGCCTCATGCGCATATGTACACGCACAATCATGTCGGACTCATGCGCAGTAAGGGTGTAGTGGCTACGCCACGGCTGTACCTTGCGGTGTTGTACCATGTGGTCATCGTGCAGCTGCATCAGTCATGCAACTTAATCTGACCTCCAGCAGCTCCGAGTGGGAGCCGCGCTCGACGATCCGCCCCTTCTGCGCGCGCACACACAATCACACACGACGCCGTGCGGATGATGCGCGCGCCCGAGAGGCAGTCTCTCCGGCGCCAAGTCCCCGGCCGTCCGCCAGCAGCCGGAGCGATCGGCGCTCAAGCGCTCCACCACGCCGGGCGGCTGCGAGGTCGACGGCGGCTTCAAGTTCAAGCGCGCAATAACCCCAAGAGCGTCGCTAACCCAAGGCTCCAGCTCAGGTTAGAGGGCCCAGCCACTCGTCGGTTGGGTGTAAACAAGCATCCCCGAGTGGGGTCCTCACTGGCTTGCCGGGGTCATGGGCCCCCCCCCTCTAGCGCCGCCGGAGGCGGCGTAGCTTCCGAGAAGCTCGGTCAGACACACGGGGGAGAGACGGACACCACATCATTACGAATGACGCAAAAATACGTCACGGAGAGCGTGTAGAATGGCTAATTTCGCCGAGAGCGCGCCGCGGGCGCACCTGGTATACGGCCCCGGAATGAGTCACTGATTAAAGTTGGGCGCCTTTGGTCGAGGCTTCCCCGGTCCTCACTGGCTTGCCGGGGTCATGGGCCCCCCCCCTCTAGCGCCGCCTATAGCGCCGCCGGAGGCGGCGTAGCTTCCGAGAAGCTCGGTCAGACACACGGGGGAGAGACGGACACCACATCATTACGAATGACGCAAAAATACGTCACGGAGAGCGTGTAGAATGGCTAATTTCGCCGAGAGCGCGCCGCGGGCGCACCTGGTATACGGCCCCGGAATGAGTCACTGATTAAAGTTGGGCGCCTTTGGTCGAGGCTTCCCCGGTCCTCACTGGCTTGCCGGGGTCATGGGCCCCCCCCCTCTAGCGCCGCCGGAGGCGGCGTAGCTTCCGAGAAGCTCGGTCAGACACACGGGGGAGAGACGGACACCACATCATTACGAATGACGCAAAAATACGTCACGGAGAGCGTGTAGAATGGCTAATTTCGCCGAGAGCGCGCCGCGGGCGCACCTGGTATACGGCCCCGGAATGAGTCACTGATTAAAGTTGGGCGCCTTTGGTCGAGGCTTCCCCGGTCCTCACTGGCTTGCCGGGGTCATGGGCCCCCCCCCTCTAGCGCCGCCTACGGCCCCGGAATGAGTCACTGATTAAAGTTGGGCGCCTTTGGTCGAGGCTTCCCCGGTCCTCACTGGCTTGCCGGGGTCATGGGCCCCCCGGGGTCATGGGCCCCCCCCCTCTAGCGCCGCCGGAGGCGGCGTAGCTTCCGAGAAGCTCGGTCAGACACACGGGGGAGAGACGGACACCACATCATTACGAATGACGCAAAAATACGTCACGGAGAGCGTGTAGAATGGCTAATTTCGCCGAGAGCGCGCCGCGGGCGCACCTGGTATACGGCCTAAGTCCGGCCGGAGCGCGGCCTGTGTAGCCAGCCAGCTCCAGCTGCGCAACGCGAGCCGCGGAGCGAGCGAAGCGCCAGATATTGTGAAAGATTTTTCCTCTAGAGCACGGGTGTGCTCCAAGACAACCCAAACGTGGGATGGGAGGAGGACAGGGTCCCCACCTGCACGACTTACCTTACGTACAGGTGGGGGGGGAAACGCGATCGCTCGCGAGCTTGGCTAGCGGCCGTCAGGTCTCAGGTGCGGAGGTGTGGCGGTGCGAGGCGCGAGGCACACCAATAAGGAAATACGTTGACCCTTGGGGTATTCACGCCCGGCCGGGATAAAGGTGAATACTTAGCGGCCGAGGCGCGTCGAGCCGAGGCGGCACGCGCTCCGCACTCGGGGGGTCGTCGGCTCAACGTTTCTCGTTGTGTCCCTATCGGGGGCGGGTGACACTAACACTGGCAGTATCACTGGCAGGGGTAGAGAACAGAACGAAATCAACAAAATGGAGGATCGAACAGCACGGACCGACTCCCAGGCCCTACAACGTGTAACATCGCAGGCGGAGGGGGGGCACGGGGTCGCGAGGGGGGAGGCGTCAGGCGCGGTGCGTCTCGTGTGGCTGCAGCAGCCGTCCTCGATCGATGGCTTCGGCCACCGTGACGGACAATTCAGGTGGATTTCATGAGGAGGACCCGGCGCCTGCAATCCTTTGCATAATAGCCTTCCGGTATAGCACCGAGTGCAGTGATTCCCGGCGTTGTGCAGTTATCCCCTTCTTTTCCCGGGTATTTCATGGTATAATATGATTCGCCGTTGGCGAAAATCATGCAATCGGTGCCCCAGCTGTGAGTGGCGACGACCTCGTCAACAATCGCTGAGTCATAGGGTGCGAGCTTCCATCCCGACGGGACCGTCAGCGGACCGTTGGTTTGGTCCACACAGCTTCCATAGTTGTCTACAGTATCTGGCCCACAGTGGCATCCCCGATCAGATTCGGTGTACGATGTCTTGTCGAGGCTCATGAAAAGTCCGTGCGAGATAGCTAGTACAATGCCGTCGTCCTCCGCTTCCCACGCGTCGGGGATGCCGTTGCTGTCGGCGTCGGTGACTACAAGAGGCGGCGGCTGGACCGGCGGCAGTGGCGGCGGCGGAGAGGGCAGATCGAGGTTGTTCCATGTAAATCCGCGGGCGTTGTTGGTGTGGTCGCCTACGTCTGGGATGCCGTCGCTGTCCGCGTCGCCCGTGCCCTCCTCCGCGTCGGGGATGCCGTCACTGTCGCAGTCTTGCTCAGACAGGCGCCGCGAAGGACGGCCAGAGGCAGCAACGGCGCCCGGTCCGCCACCGTCGCCGCCCTCGTCCACCGCCGATGCCTCGCCGGCGGCCAGGAGAAGCCCGCCAGGGCGAGAAGCCAGGGCGGCGGTGTAAAAGCGAGAGAAGTCAAACTCGACTGTGTCGCCAGAGGGAAGCCGGTACATTTCGGCGGAGCCCTCGATGGCGCCCTCGGCCATCGCCGATGTGCGGAATCGCCCCTCGGTCGGGTAGATGTCGCGTTTGCCGTTGTGCGGCCGAGCTCCCCCTGCCCCGCCGCCAACGTCCACGGCCGAGGCCTCGGCGGTTGCGGCCGGGGCGCCAGCGAGATGCGGCGACACCTTGGGGGGGGCGCGTCGAAGCGGGAGAAGGCAAACCGTGTATCAAAGGCCGCGGTGACCTCGTAGAGGTTTGCCTCTCCGTCGATGGCGCCCTCTGCCATCGCCTCGGTTCGGATGTGACCCGATGCGGGGTAGACGTCCTTGCGGCCATTGCGCAGCAGGCCGACCGTCGCAAAGGATTGGCCCACCAGCCCGTGCGGCAGACTCGCCGCCGCTGCCTCGCCACCGCTCTTGGCACTAATGGAGATGTCGAGGCGATGCTCTGGGCCCGTGACACGGTCGTGGACGTGGTTGCCGCGCACTTTGATGATCCAGTCGCGGGTGACCCACGTGGCGGTCGAGAAGCTCATCTTCAACTCAATCTCCTCGCACTGCTTTCGGCCGCCCAGCCCGAGCGTGAACTTGTGGCCACCGCAGGTGCCGTTGACGACCCTTCTCCCGGTGTTCTGCTCGTTCAGCTCCGACGCCCAGAAGCTCACGTTGGCAAACTTTCTCTTGGGCAGACTGACCGCGGTCAGATGCGCTTCGGTCATGAAGCTCCCATCGACCAGCAGCTTCTTGCCGTGCAACGTGAAGGTCGAGTCCTCTGTCTTTACGTTGAGGGCGACTCCGGGCGCGGAGAGGAAGGTGTAAAGCGCCTTGTGGCGGCCGCGAAAGTCGGCGCTGCCGCCAAAGGCGAAGTGGAGATGGGGGTCTTGGGCCGCACAGGCGGTGCTCGTGGAGCTCGCGTACTGGCCAGCCAGCACGCTCAGCATGGCAGAGAGGCGGGGGGAGGGGGGGGGGGGGGATTTTCCTCAATTAATTTTACGGACCAATTTTGGCAGCCGAACCCCGCGGCGGCCGCCGGCCCACCCATGGTACAAGTCCTAGGGGGGCAATTTAGGGGCCTAGAGAACACAACCCCCTCTCCCTTTTCTACAAGTCCGCCGAATTTAAGATTTTCCAGTGTATGTAGCTCTTACGAACATACATACCCGAGGGTGAACTGCTGACAGGGTTTGCGATGAGGAGCGATCCGAACGTGGTATTTAGAGGCCGGCCGCAGGCCGGCAATTTTCAGATTTTAGACCAAGATTTTAGAGCTCTGGAGCGCATTTTCGCAAGATTTTATTAGCTGGGGGGTTCACACACTTTCAAGATTTTACAGCTCACGGCCGCCCCGCCTTCAAATCTTAAATTCGGCTGACCTGTACCCCTCTCCCCACGAGACCTCGAGAGAGCGGGGCGTGCCGTCGCCTGCCGTCGTGCCTAAAGCGCCTGTTCACGGCATGGAGGGTGAGCCACGCTGAACGTACTGAACGTAGAGCCGAACGTACTGAACGTAGAGCCGAACGGGAGGAAGCCGGGGAAGAAGGCTCCGAGGAGGACGAAACACCAGTGGCAATCCCGTCGTCAGCTTGTAACGATGCACCCGAAGGGGACCCCAGCGCCAACACCATCTGTGGAAGTACAAGTGTTCGAAGAGAGAGTGGACCTGAGCAACGATATGACTTGGCGGCAAATGATCGCAGTGGGCGTCAGAAGAGTCGTCCTTGCGCGAGGAGAGCTCGATAAACTCGAGGGGCCAAAATATGCCGCGAGCAGGGCAGAGAGTTGCGCCGAAAGGCGGGAGAAGCCGCGAGAGCAAGGGATCGGCAGGCGGCGGCGGCGTCGCAGGACGAGGCAGACGAGAGCGACGCGACAGAGGAGGAAGCAACAAAAAGAATGTTAACATACCATTGGTAGACCCGTCGCGGCGGCAGTCGGACCACCGTGATCTACGACAAGGAGGGCCACGCCCCCCCAAGCTGGAGGAGGTGCCGGCGGAGGGGAGGGGCGAGCCGAGAACGATAGAACGGTCGCGGGTGCGGGCGCGATTCGTCGACCAAGGAGAGCCGGCCCGACCCCCCGGGGAGGGGAGGCGATATAACCCAACGCCGCCGCCCTCGCCCGGGGAGTCGGACACGGGATCGCCACCCGCGGAGTCAACGGGATCAGACAGGGAAGGCGAGACGGCGGCGAAGCCGCGGTCGAAGAAGTATAAGAGGGGAAGGCGGGCTCCGCAGCCGACGCCTGACCGTCGGAAAGCGAACAGGAGGGAGGACCGGGAGGAGAGGGGAGCCCCTTCGGATGGGGGGTGGGGAGATCGCGGGCGGAGAGGCCCTGAGTGGCGATTTCGGGTGAGAGTGTACGTCATGCTTGTGTCTGGTGTTTACTAGCTCCGAGTAGAGGGGCTACCCAGATGCTGCGGACCTACCTACCTATTGTGCATAGGGGGTCTAACCGTGGGGGACAGACCCCCTATCTGGGTAGGAGCCGGAACCCAGGCGCCTGCGGCGCCGAGGCCGTGGTCACGAGGTGTTGAACTATGTTGTTCACACTTGTACAACCATTCATGCAGCACAGTACATCGGTGTGAAAATCAGGTCGGCGAAGACGGAGGAGCGGGGGCGGCCATCGCAGTTGCGCCTCGAGGGCGGGCCTCCGCTGTGTCGCCGTCCTCCGCCCCCCTCGCTGCCGGTGCGTCGGTCAGAACGAGGGGCGGTGACGTGGTGAGCCGTGGGGCTAGGCCAGAATACCTGCCTTCGCGCCCGAGCCCCACCCGGCCCGCGGCGAAAGCGGTGAGCGCGGTGCCAATCAGGGCGGCGAAGGCGATGATGATCGTGCCCCAGCCCCAAGACTCGACGCACTCGCCCGGCCAACCCGAGGAGGAGGCCGCGGCGGCACGGCGGGGAGCGTGGCGGAAAGTGTGATCGGCGGGCGGCGGCGGGCAGCCCGGCCCGAGCGTGTGTAGCGCGCCCAGTGCGTAGGGGCCCACGAACCCGCCAAGGTTGCCAATCGAGTTTACCAGCGGCACCTGTGCTCACAGCCACGGCGTGTCAAGAGGCGACGGAGCCACATCTCGGCCATGTCTCGGCTCGATCTCGACGGTGAACGGGATGTCTCAACGACGCTCGCCGTCAAGGCGCGACGTCGTCGGCCAGATCTCGGCCATCCCTCGGCGCGATCTCGGCTCTGTCTCGGAGATCTCAACGCGCCGAGACGGCACGCAGCTCCGCCGGCTGCGACGCATGGTGGAGGGCCCAGAACGGGCCGGCAGAGAAGGAGGCGGCGGGGAAAGCGAGCCACGTCGCCAGCAGCGCCAAGCCCGAGCAGAGGGTGGCGGGGGGCATGCCGAGAAGGGGGCGGGGCGAGGAGGCGTGGCCGGCGGCCGCGAGGGAGGCTCCGAGCAGCAGCATCAGGCCCGAGGCGAGGATGCAGAGGAGGGCGAGGGTGGTGCCGAGCCACGCGGCGCGGAAGCGGCCGCGCGACGGCGAGTTGTCGGCGTCGCGCGAGCGGTCGGCTCGCTCGGAGAGAGTGGGGCCTACGTCCTGAAGACGCCGCAGTCAGGATGGGCGTACGGTCTCGTGCCGTGTACTCAGAGCACCGTGTGAATGCAGGGGCTACGATTGCAGTGAATACAGCTGGATGCGGCCGAATACAGCGCAACACGTGTCCTCTCGAGCGCGAGTCGGAGGACAGCAATACGTACTCAGCTTCTAGGGGGTGGGGCCGACGAGGAGCGAGACGGCGGACGGGAGGGCGCCTATACCACCACCGCAGAGGAGTTGATCCCCGCCAATCGGGTAATCTCGGGAATCTCGGGCCCAACTGCGCCGCTGTCACGACGCTCTCCTGTTCTATGCTAGAACACGAAATGCTTGCTCACTGTGCATCCCATACGGTGACTCCAGACAGAGAGGGTGTGTGTGGGGGGTGGGGGTGGGGGGGGGTTGGGGGGGTGGGGGGGGGTTGGGGTGCTTGCTGACTGTACCGACGCAGCCGAGCAGCGAGAGCGGCAGGGACGGGAGCACCTCCCGCAGCTGGGTGGGCCCGAAGTAGACCAGGCAATAGAACGCCTGGGGTGGGAGAGGCCGTGGGCTCGGGCCTCCCATGTCCCTCTATACACCGAGTCACTCCCACCCCGTGGGACGTTCCCCCCCCCCCCCCCTCGGGTCCCTCATGTTCATGTCTCTCGCGTGAGATTGCGCTCCCTCGTGCGCGGTCACTCTCTCCCTCTCGCCCTCGTCCTCACCAACCTCCGCCCTCACCCACCCGAGCCCGAACCCGAGCCGAACCACGGTTGCATCGCGCCGCGCTTGCACTCGCATCTACTGCCCCAGTCGCCTGCGCGGCGACGGTGCACTTAGTAAATCTGGTCTCTCCAGGAAAGAAGACGTTTGTCTGCCCGCGGTGCCACTCTGTCACCACACCTGCGCGGCGACGAAATGCTGCGCGCCGAAGAGCCACGTATGGGGGCGTCGCAGTGCGGCGCGCAGCGCCGCGCAGAGCGGTAGCGACGCGGCCGCGGAGCCGTCCGACGCGAGCAGTGCAGCGAGTGTCTTCTTCTGCTCGCCGGTCAGCCAGCGCGCCTCCGCCGGAGAGTCTGGCAGCAGGCCAAGAACGAGCAAGCCGATAAGCAGCGTGGGCGCCGCCTGGAGAGGGAGGATGCGCAGAGACTACAACTTGGGGAGAGCCGAGCTGCGGATAGGGGCTGGCTCTCAACTCCCTCTCTCGAGTGTGCGCAGTGGCGGTCCTGAATGGGGAGCACCTAGATCTGCCCATTCTAGATCTCCCCATTCTAGATCTGCCGGGCGTCCCTTCTGTTTGTGGTGGAGTTGTGGCCGAGAGATTGCGCTCCCCCGCCCAGAGTGCTGCACTCTCCCTACGGGCGGCGCAGCGTCGAGCAATATGGTGTTCGGTCCGTCATAAGCGGCACATACATCTGACTCGGCCGAGGGGCCGGACGTCTGGAACTAGATTCGGATGTGGTTGACGGTCAGCTGTGTGCTCCTATCGCCTATCGGATCTGGCTCCTGCACGAGGAAGAGCCAGCGCCAGCCGGCGAGGCCGAGTGCGCCGTCGAGCGACTGGAGGAGCGCGCCCGAGGAGCTGGCGCCGATGGACGTGCCGAGCCTGCAGCGGGGAAAACCGAGGCACAAGGGCCGTGAGGACGGGCTCGGGCGCTCGATGCGGACTCTCTCCCCATATCTCCCCACTCCGACTCCAAGCGGGAAGGCGCGTGCGGCTCTGTGGAGCCGGCCGAGCGGCTCGGTGGGCAGGCTGGGGCGGCAGTCGCTTTCGCGGCAGCGGCTGAAAGGTATCGGAGGCGGCGCCGGGCGTGGGCGGTTCCACATCTAGGGCCCGCGCGTGGCACAGAGGGTGAAGAGGGTCGACGCGCGGGAGCGGGACGTGTCTGGGTACCAGAGCGAGAGCGTGAGGATGGCGGCGGGGTAGAACCCCGCCTCCGGGAAGCCCAGCAGGAAGCGGAGCAGCAGCAGCTGCCCTCTCGTCCGCACAAGGGCAGTGGCGGCGGAGCAGAGCCCCCACGCAAGCATCGTCGCGGCGAGCACGCGCCTGCGAGTGGCGGTGCAAGAGGTGGCGGCGGCGGTGGTCGTCGTGGCAGTGGCTGCCGGCGGATCTCGCGCCTCGCGCCCAGTTTGCTGACCAGTGCGCAGGTCGGGACCTGCGCGGCACAGTAGGACAGGAAGAAGACGCCCGCCGCGAGGCCAAAGGAGGACTGCGAGAGCGAGAGATCGTCCCGCATTTGCAGCTCCGCATACGCCAGGTTGGAGCGATCTATCACCGACATCAGGTAACCGCCGCTGAGCAGAGGGAGGAGTCGGCAGTCGAGCCTGCGGCGCAGTTCAGCGGGCAGCGAGAGCGGCGCCTCCTCCGGCGGCGGCGAGAGGAGCAGCTCAGCAGAGCCGGCCATAAGGCAAACACCGCTCTGACAGACAGCGCTCACAGCTGCTCGAAATGTGCGCCCATGTTGGACGGAACCAAAACTGTATCTTTGACGTACCCTCCGGTGCTGCCGGGCGGCAGTACTCGCCTCGCAAGGCGCGCACCGGCTGCTCTGGCTGCTGCGCCGGCGGCCGCTGCGCTGGCCGCTGCTGCGCCGGCTGGCGGGCGGCACGGCCGCCGGCGGCCGCTGCGCCCGCGCCTTCCCTCGCGGGCGCCGTCGCGCCGCGCGCGCCCAACCCTGCTGGTACACGGCACGCGTCGTCACTCAGCCGCGGAGAACAGGCGGTGCTGTGCGCGAAGCGCGCGCGATCTCGTACTTCTAAGGCTGGATCCGGCCATTCCAAGGGTATACCTTTGAGAATCCCCAGCGTCCCACCCTCCTAGTCACACTCTCAATATCTCGACTAGCCAACAGCAACACGAAGTGCTGCGATCGGGAGTGGCCCATTTCTTTTTTATTTTCTTTTTTTGGGTCCTGTGGGCACCCTAACGAGGATATACGTGTACCCTAAGTTTCTCCGAGACCTCGCGAGTGGGCAGTTATTCACACCCGGGGCAGGTAGGGGATCGGGCAGGCAGCGAGGGTAGTTGTGCGGCAGTGTGCGGGCAGGGCAGTACGGCAGGGCAGGGCAGGGCAGTTGGGGTCATAATTGCAGGGCTGAGATTCGGGATCTCAGGTACAGATATACGCGCCCGATCTTGAGCACTTGAGCACTTGATAGGGTCGGTTCCGCATGGTACGGGACCCCTCGATCGTCTCGCGGCCCTCCCTCACTGGTGTGTTCATGGGGGGGGGTCATAACAAACACGGTACAGGATCGAGGTGCACGCTGCTGAGGGACGCCGGGACGCCTCCCCTCACCGCCTCGGATTTATGTGGGATCGAACCACTCCGGGATGAGCCGTCCACCCTGAACACGACCGAGGAATAGCCGACCTTCATGGAGAACTCCTCGCACGAGCGCCCCTCACCTATGCCGAGGAAGAAGACCCCCCCGCCACAAGTGCCGTTGACGAGGTTGGGTCCAGTATTAAACTCGTTCAGCTCGCTCGCCCACACCTATCAGTCGGTGTTGGTGCCGGCGCTGATGCTGCTGCGGCTGTTGTGCTGCTAATGGCACTGCTGCTGTCTTCACTGCCGCTACTTGTACTGCCCTGCGCTACTGCGTGCACTGCTCTTCTGCGTATGGGGCTGTCCACTGCCGCCGCAGCCGCTGCAACTAATTGCTAGGGCCACAGTGGGCTCACGGCTCACCGAGAGCGTCATCGGCTTCTGCTTCACCCCGCCGACGATCGCATTGATGTGCACCTGAGTGATGTACGTGCCGTCGACCGTCAGCGAACCCTTGTCGTCGTTGATGACAAAAGTCGCGTCCTCAATCAGGACATTGACGCTGAGCTTCGGCCCCGAAAAGAAGCAGTAGTATGTCTTGTCTCGCCCTCGAAAGTCAGCCCTGCCCCCGTGGGCAAAGTTGAGATGCGGGTCCTTGTTGCCGCTTGCGCACTGCCCCCAGACGAGATGCAAGACGAGGGCTTGCAGCAGCAGCGCCAGCAACGCCAGGGGGGCGGTCATGCAACCCCGACGGCCGCCCCGAACCTGAGGCCGAAATCATAAATAAATAGATCCGTCTTGTCATCGCAAACCCTGTCCTTCGTAATGACGACTAATTGATTGAGATGGCTTTAAAAGGAGGTTCTTCGCGCAAGAAGCGCCGCCCGCAAAGCTAAAGTAGTCTCCTCGAAGGTGGCGACCCTACCCTCCTCCCTCGTTTGGTTTGAGGGAGCGACGCCACCCCCATCCCTCTCTCACAGCAGGCAGGCCCCACACAGGTGTGGACTGGCGCGTGCTAGCCCTCCACCGGAGGCGCCTTTTCGAAAAAGAATCCTTCGCGCGCGCGGGCGGAGACGACCACGTCGCCGCGATGGGCGATTGCGCATGGCGGGCGGATACTTGCGCCGTGCGGTGGCTCTGGCTCGCGACGGCACAGACAGGCAGAAGCAGTGGGCCGCGGGGGCGCTGTGGAACCTCGCTCTCAACGCCGACAACCAGGTGGCGATTGCGAGGGCGGGCGGCATCGAGCCGCTGGTGGCGCTGGTTCGCGGCGGCACGGACGGGCAGAAGGAGGAGGCCGCGGGGGCGCTGGCGGACCTCGCTTACAACGCCGACAACCAGGTGGCGATCGCGAAGGCGGACGGCATCGCGCCGCTGGTGGCGCTGGCTCGCGACGGCACGGATTGGCAGAATGGGGAGGCCGCGGGGGCGCTGGCGAACCTCGCTTACAACGCCGACAACCAGGTGGCGATCGCGAAGGCGGAGGCGGTGGCACAGGCCGAGGCGGAGGCGGCGGGTATCGCGCCTCTGGTGGCGCTGGTTCGCGGCGGCTCGGACGGGCAGAAGGAGCAGGCCGCGGGGGCGCTGGCGAACCTCGCTTTCAACGCCGACAACAAGGTGGCGATTGCGAGGGCAGGCGGCATCGCGCCTCTGGTGGCGCTGGCTCGCGGCGGCTCGGACGGGCAGAAGGAGCATGCCGCGGCGGCGCTGTGGAACCTCGCTTTCAAGAACGCCGACAACCAGGTGGCGATTGCGCAGGCGGGGGGTATCCCGCCTCTGGTGGCGCTGGTTCGCGGCGGCTCGGACGGGCAGAAGGAGCTGGCCGCGGGGGGCTGTTCGGCTTTGGCGCAGACAAGTTCGGCGACGGGTCCATCCCGGGCAGCATCCTGCTCGAGGACGGGAGGTACCTGGTCTCCGGCCGACAATTCCCGCTGCACCGTGACTACGGTTTCCGCTTGTACCGCGACTACCACGACGCTGAGCAGTCACACACGATCGAGCTCAAGGACGTGCGCAACTGGACGACCGCAGTCGCACAGCTGGCCGAGTACTGTGAGCTCGAGGCGACGCAGAGCGGGCGCAAGCCAAGAGGCACCATCGTGCTCTTTGGCAGTGGCCCCGGCTTCTGCGTCACGGACGCCGAGTACAACGTCGTCACTCAGGGCGCCAAGATCATCAACAAGGTCGTCGAGGACAAGAACGGCTTCCAACTGCAGATCTTGCGCCGCGACGCCATTACCGCCGCCGCCGCCGACGTTGCCACAACCAAAGACGTCGTGTTCAGGGCTCTCGCTCGGGCAAAGGAAAATGTCGCTTCGAAACGCGCGCGCGACGAGTCCGGAAACGCACACACACACACACGGACTGACGGCGAGGGCGCCGGACCGCAGACAGTATAGAAGTAGAGCCGTACAGCAAAATCGTTAGTACATAGTAGTGTAAGATCGTTCGTAAAGCAAGATCGTTGAAAGTGCGTTGTAAGAAACTGTAGGACTGTACTGTATAAATGATGCCGGGGTGTGATCACACACGAAGTCACCAACCCACTGGGTGACATGGTCAATCGGACTGTCTCTCTCTCCGTGCGCGGTGTCTATCTCTATGCAAAACAGTGCGTCAGGAACGAGCCCGCCGTTCTCGCGTCGCCCAATACGTCCAGCGCCGCCTGCTCAACCAAGTTCGGCGTCTCGAGCACGTCCCCGCCAACGTGCGCTAAGGCGCGCAGCGCCGCCGCCGCCCTCGCCACGCCTGCGGAGGCCTTGCACATTGAATGTGCCGTGCCGGCTCCTGCCCGCGTCCGGGTGTGGAGATGCGAGGGCTTGCCTGGCCCTTGCCCCACCCGCTGTGTGTGTGTGTGTGTGGAAACACTTCTGCAAGGTGACCGCGAGACCGGGAGAGCGAGTGTCTCTTGGGGGAGCGAGTGTGGGAGAGCAGAGTCGGGGGGAGTGTCCACTGTGTGGCGACGCTCGCCGGCTGCCGCGTCGGCGGGCCAGTGCGCACTCGCGATGCGCCCCCGTGCGGCGGCCGCCTAAGGGGATTAATTAATGGTTTAACTATTAATAAGTGCGTTGGCCGCCTAAGGGAGGGGGGGGGGGGGGTAAGGTGAACCTCTCTCCACACGAGAGAGTGGCGGGGCAAGGCCTGGGCCTCGCGACACTCCACGTCTAAGATACAGGGGCCCCACGGCATTCAAAGTGCAAAGCCCAGTGCGCGTGGGTGAGCGGTGTGTGTGTGTGTGTGTGTGTGTGCGTGCGTGCGTGCGTGCGTGCGTGCGTGCGTGTGTGTGTGTGTGTGTGTGTGTGTGTGTGTGTGTGCGTGCGTGCGTGCGTGCGTGCGTGTGTGTTGGCGGCTGCCTCGCCCAGCGCGCAGAAGCGGCGGAGCTTGCGCATCGGCCGCGCGTACCTTAATGAATCAATTGATTCGTACATCCGAGTCCATTCCTCAATCTGGCGGAGCTCTCGCGCATCGGCCGCGCGCACCGCGCCGAGACGCTGCGCCACCTGGCGACAGGACGCGGGCCGAGATCAGCCGAGCTCGCCCCGAGCTCGAGCGGACGGCACTGGGACGGCTCGCCACACCGACTCACCATGCGAGAGTGGAGCCATCGCCGCGCCGCCTCCACCGCCTCCGCCCCGCCCGCCTCTCCCGCCTTCTCCTTCTCCGCCGCCACCGCCGGCCCCGCCTCCGCCTCCGCCTCCGCCTCCTCCGCCTCCTCCTCCTTCTCCGCCTCGCCGCCAAAGAAGACCGCCACGGCCAGCGACACGCACGCGCGCTCGAGCACGGCAGCCGCACCCTCGCGCGGCATCGCCTCGGGGGGGGGGGGGGGGGAGCAGGCCGCGCTTCATTGATCAACCAACTAGCACTTGCATATTAAGGCACGAATCCATCGCCCGAGCGCGGCGCCTCGGGGAGAGGGAGCAGGCCGAGCGATCTGCCTGTGAGCTTCAATCCACCCTTCTCAAGAATAAGAAATACGGGTATGTGGCGTGGCAAGCCGAGCGCGCTGCCGGCGCGGCCGACGAGGCGCTGCACACGGAGTGTCTCCTGAACAAAGAACAAGACGAGGATGGGCGGCGGTGTTTCTTTTAATCAGGCCGTCTCCACGGCGAGCGCCACCTCGTCGTGCGCCCAGACGTTGTACGAGAGCGAGATGGGCGAGAGGGCGGTCACCTGTGCCCAGAAGGTTCCTGGAAGGTTCCTGGAAGGCTCCCGGAAGGCTCTCGGAAGGCTCGAGGTGGGCGAGAGGGCGGTCACCTGTTTGCAGCGGCCTGCCTCCTCCCTCGCCTCTCTTCATTTGTGTGTTGTCCGCCCAGGAGGGCGGTCGGGAGGTCAGGCACGTGGTGAAAGACAAACGGCGCGAGCAGCAGCACGTCGCCAGCCTGCAGCTCCACCGCCGTCGCCCCGTCGCTGCCGCCGCCCAACGACGTGCGGGGGGGGAGTTGCGTCCTGCGAGGGGAGGCGCGTGTTGGAAGAGGCACGACGCACCCCGCAAGGTGACGCAATGGGGAGGACACAGGGGGAGGTGTGGGGAGGTGTGGGGAGACATGGGGAGATACGGGGAGGTATGGGGAGATGAATCGAGCAGCCGCGCCTCCGAAAGTGCGGGTGCAGGTACGGGAAGGGCAGTAGCGCGTCTCCTGATCAAAGGTGAGGCGAGGCGAGGTAAGCTTCTCCACACACACGACGGTGGTGGGGCAAGGGCCAGGGCAGCCCTCGCGACTCCACGTCTAAAAGACTGGAGCCTCACGGCATTCAAAGTGCAGGGGTGGCTCTGCAGCACGGGCGTGTCGGTGTTTCGGTGCTTCGACGGCGAGCCTGTTATCGCAGAGGTGAGCAGGAAGGTCTTGCGCCTGATGGCGACAACTCTCTGGTCCATTCGACGGCGCGGGGAGGAGAGCGCGCGGGCGCACAAGAGTGCGCCCGTGCAGCTGGCAAAACGCGTTGTGCGACGCGTCATAGTGGTTGAAGGCGGTCACGCCGCCGCCGCCGAGCCAGACGTTCTCGGAGTGTACCTGACGCGAGTGACGAGCCGAGATTCGCCGAGATTTCCGAGATTCGCCGAGATTCGCCGAGAGTACAGCCAGACTTCTCTCCGAGTGCACCTGACGTGGCCGACACAGCTTCACCACATTGTGATGCCACCGGCGCCTCTAGCAGCCTCCAGAGTGGCTCGCGCCGTCTCGCCGCCAGCGTGGCCGGCAGAGCCGCCGACTAGACGCACGAGCGCGTCGACGTCGAGCCGAGTGCGCACGTGCTGGGCAGTGCGGCTGCTGTTCGACGCCGAGAAGTAGACCCATTCTCTGACCGGACAGGCCTCCGCGGCTGCAGCCTGCGCCTGCCACGCTGTGGCGGCGGCGGCGCTCTTGAGGATCGCGACCAGGTCCGCGGCGGTGGCGTTGGACCGCAGAGCAGGCGCGAGCCGGCGACGCTCAAAGCCCTTCACGTTGGCGAGCGGCTTCTTCTCCGAGTAGTAGACGACCTCGGGTTGGAGGCTCCGCTCGACGGCCGCGTCGAGGCGAGGCGCGGACGTTACGAGCGAGGCGGGTGAGAGCGTGGCACAGGCGCCACGCAGGAGGAGAAATGGCTGGGCCGCAGGCGAAGGGATGGTCGTGTTAAGGGCGTAGACGTCGTGTGGTCGTGAGGCCGAATGCCAAGGGCCCTAGCGCGATTCAGTAGCGGCGGTCGCACCGCCTAGTATGGGTGCGGGGATACCACTCCTTACGTGGTCCCGCAACCCGCCCAAGTACCCAGGTATCTCGGGGGCGCGCTCCAGTATCTGCAGTATCTGCGGTATCTGCAGTATCTGCAGTATCTGCAGTATCTGCAGTATCTGCAGTATCTGCAGTATCTGTCTGCAGTATCTGTGGTCTGCAGTATCCGCGGTGTCCGGGTTGTCTGTGGCAACAGGCGGTGTGGGGTGTGGCGGCACCACCCTCGCAGCCCAGATCTGCAGCCGCTGGTTGACAGTCGCTGGTTTAAAAAGACACATCTAAACCCGGCTGACGCCGGCCTTACACTTTTCCTAACAAGCCTCTACTGCTTCGTTGTCCGTCGTCTGCTGCTGTACAATTTTGGCCTCTTCTCCTTCGCAAGGGCCCCGCCCCCAGCGAGGGGGGGGCGGGGCCGCGCAGGGGTCCTCTAGTGCCAAACAAACGGGAAAACTATTACATGCAACCTCGCCGACGGCCGCCCCCGTCCATTATGCACACATCGCAGGTTCGTGCAGTGATGTCGCTGGCGCTCGCCGTCGGCGTACACGCGACGTGCAATCCGTTTTGTGAGGACAAGACGCAGGGCTGGGATAAAAAGTGCGACTGGGGTGGCTGCTACAGCTGCACCGAGTGCTCCGCCCCTGCGCCGGTGTGCAAGCCGTTTTGTGAGGACAAGACGCAGGCTTGGGATGACAAGTGCACCTGGACGGGCTGCACCGGCTGCACCGAGTGCATCGTCCCTGAGCCGGTGTGCAAGCCGTTTTGTGAGGACAAGACGCAGGCTTGGGATGACAAGTGCACCTGGGGGGGCTGCAGCGGCTGCACCGAGTGCTCCGTCCCTGCGCCGGTGTGCAAGCCGTTTTGTGAGGACAAGACGCAGGCTTGGGATGACAAGTGCACCTGGACGGGCTGCACCGGCTGCACCGAGTGCCTGGCCCCTTTGCCGTCGGCGCCGCCCCCCACACCGCCGACTCCGACCGACCCTCCCTCCCTCCCTCCCTCACCGTCGGCGCCGCCCCCCACACCGCCGCCTCCGACGCCACCACCGCCGTCGCCCCCAGCGGTGTGCAAGCCGTTTTGTGAGGAGAAGACGCAGAACTGGGGTGACAAGTGCTCCTGGGGGGGCTGCAACGGCTGCTCCGAGTGCGGCATGTGCAAGCCGTTTTGTGAGGACAAGACGCAGGACTGGGGCAACAAGTGCACCTGGGGGGGCTGCAACGGCTGCTCCGAGTGCTTCGTCCCTCCGCCGCCACCGGCAAATTAGTCTAGCGTGCGTGCAGCGGTGGCTCGGAGCGTCAGCGCTCTGGGCCACGGCCTGTTGCGGGCCCATTCCGGCACGGGCCCCCGAAGGCAGCGCTGTCAGCCCACGTCTCTGCCATCGTTGAACGACAACGAGATGAGAGCTGTGATCCGTGTGTGTACACTGTGTGTGTACACTAATCGTGCGTGAGGATGGGCGGGTACTCGGATGAGGAGTGTCTGATTGTGGCAGTCTAGCGTGCGTGCAGCGGTGGCTCGGAGCGTCAGCGCTCTGGGCCACGGCCTGTGGCCGGCTCATTCCGGCACGGGGCCCCCGAAGGCAGCGCTGTCAGCCCACGTCTCAGTCCCGACACGATTTGTATTCTTACTCAAACTTAATAGGCGCTCAAGACAATAGTATGCGTGTTATGACTATGATGATGATCGCCTCCATAGCCCTGAGAAATTTTAGCGACCGGGTAAGCTGAAACGCGAATTGTGGGTGACTGGGTAAACTGATTTGTCAGTTTTTTGATGAAATTACTGCTGAGCAGGAAAATCGTTGCCGGGTAATCTGGACGAGAAACTTGGTCGACCGGGTAATCTGCCCTGAGAAATTTTAGCGACCGGGTAACGTAAGCTGAAACATGAATTGTGGGAGACTGTGGGTAAACTGGTTTCACGGAAATCGCGCTAAGCAGGAAAAAAGCGCTCCGTCCAGCGGTGCGGCCGCAACGCTCCCTCCCCCCGTGCTCGCAGGCCGCGCCGCGCTGCGAGAGAGGAGTGGTCGGCAAGCTACCTGCCTTGCCTACAGTACGTGTCGGCAGACGTGCCACAGCCGATAGCGCAATACCGACGAGGCCGACGCCGTGCCCCCGCATTTCCGCGGTGGGCGCGCGCTGTGGCAGCGCAAGCCTCGAGGGTGGCTGGGCTCGTGGCGCGCCTGGTCGTCAACTCGCACCAGCGGCGGGGGCTAGGGGCCGCTTTTTGACGAGCTGCCTTGGCACAGGAGAGAGAGGCCGGCTTCCGCGAGCGACCCGATCGCTTGATGCTGTCGGACCACTGCTAGGGTGCTCACAGGGCCCAAAAGAATTTTACAACAAAACTCCCTCGCACAACACTGGGCACGGGACTGGCGCGCACTGGCACTAACACAGGTACACCAAAAGAAAATAGCTTTAGCTTCAAAAAGGGACGCACAAGGCAAATCTGATGTTGGAGTGTTCCAATAGGAAGAGGGCCTCTTCCGTTGGGGGACCGAGTGACTAGGAAACGAGGGTTTCCCATTGTGAGTCGCTCGAGCACGAGCGTGACACTGCACTTGGCGCCGAGCGGCCGCGGCTCAGAGACCTTGTGCAGGCCTACCCTCATTGAGTGCACCGGTCCGGACCGATGGCGCTCGGTGTGGAGCAAGCAAGACCCCCCCCCCCCCCCCCATCGGCGCGCGCCCGACCTTTGAACGGCCGCCAGGAGCACCAAGAGGACTCCTCATGGCTGCACTCAAGGGGGCTTCGACCGGCCTCGGCTGGGGGGGCGGGTTGTCCCGGTTGCGGACGCCTTCTGCAGAGCCCCCTGGGATGGGGTCAGCACCCCAAAACTGCCCCTCGGCGGCATACAGCACTGCCAGCCAGCCTCTTCCTCCTCCTCAAGGGCTGTACTATGGCCATATTGCGCCGCCTCCTACTGGCAGCCGGGCGGGCGCGCGCCGCGCGCGCCTCGGCGCGCGCACGGCTCGCAAAGTTCGAACGAGTACGAGTACTGCCGCCTGGCCGCCTCAAGGCTGCCGGGCGGCAGTTATTACTCGCCTCGCAAGGCGCGCACCGGCTGCTCTGGCTGCTGCGCCGGCACAATCTCAATATCTCGACTCTCCAACACGAAGTGCTGCGATGGGGCTTGCGCCATTTCTTTTTTCCTTTCTTTTTTTTGGGCCCCGTGGGCACCCTACCACTGCTCCAAGACGAGCGTGGTATGATAGGAGCGAGCGTGGAGCGAGGCGCCGAGCGAAGGGGAGAGAGAGCGATCCGATCCGACACGACACGAGCGACCCGACCCGACACGACACGCGTTTTTTCTGAAGGTGCCGCTCGCGGCTTTAACTTCCATTCTGCGATTATTTTCGACAGAAAGAGAAAAACGCGTATCCGTATTTGAAAAGCAGGTGGGGGGACGGGAAGTCCGTCGGCGTTGCCGCGCTCGTGCGGCAATAGCCGGGTGGAGGGGGGAGCGTGCCGGACGGGGCGACGTCGCGCCGTCCGATGGTCTGCTGCCCCGCGCAGCAACCGTCGGGCGACGACCCGGGGGCCAAAAACCCGGCGACGACGGCGCTCTGGATGGGGCGTGACCTCCTGCCTCCAACCTCCTTCCTTTTTTGAGCAGGTGTGCCGCCGCGCGAGCGACGCTCCGAGATCGCCCGAGCGCGGCGCGGCCCCGAGATTGCCCGAGACAGCGCGAGATCGCCCGAGATCGCGCGGCGCGGCCCGAGGCGAGGTGGATGGGTTGGGAGCGAAGGGGCGGAAGTGTTCAGTGCGGTAGATGGTAAGCTCGGGGCGCGTGAGCCGGACTTGTGAGCCGGACGGCTTTCATTTCTCTCTGCGTTCTTGCACATGGAGTGCAAGATACTCGGCTGTCCTTCCCAAACTGTCACTCCCCTTTCTCCCGGCCGGGGTGGGGCGCGCGCGGGGGGGCGGCGGGCGTGCGGCGAGTGTGCGGGATGTCTGTGGGCCCGAGAGCGACATCGTCTATGCCATGTCCGCCTTGCGCGTTTGTTTCATACATCGAAGGCTAAGCTCAAAAGAGATTTCCGCAATTTCAAACATGTCGGACTCGAAGGAGAAGGAGAAGGAGAACGCCCCACTGCCGCCGCCGCCCACCGCGCTCGCAAACGTCAAGCGCTCCCTCCTCGAGAAGAAGCGCGCGCTCTCTGCGCTCGGCACGTCCCTCTTCCATCCGCCGGCCTATGAGGACTACGTCGGCACGCCCCACGCCATCAAGCGCAAGCGGGCCAGGGCGGCCGCCAAGCGGCACAGCGCCTTGGTCGAGGCAGCGGAGGTGGGCTCGTCGCCCGGCGAGGTAGACGCCGCGTCCAAGATCGACTGGCCGAGCGAGGTGCGCGCCGAGCTCGCCGGCGCGCAGCGCAGCATCAAGCTGGCCGTCTCCGAGGTTGCCTCGCGAGCGGACCACCAGGCGGACCGCCTGTTTGACGCCCTCGACTCGGTCGCCCGTCGCGTCAAGGACGGGGCAAACAGCCTGAAGGCAAAATTGCCCATCAGCGCCACGCCCGTCGGCGGCGGCGGCGACGTCGTGCAGAGCGGCGTCGCGTCAGTCATCGGCAGTGCGGCATCCGCCGCCGCCGCCGCCGCCGCCGCCGCCGAGGGCGCCGCCGCTGGTGCGGGCAGGGCTGCAGAGGCGGCGGCCGCAGCGGCTGGGGAGCGGATGGAGGAGCTGGCCAGCGCAGCCGCTGTGGCGACAGACGCGGCCGAAGCGGCGGCAGGCCACGCGGCGGCGGCGGCGGCGCAGGCGGCGGCGGCGGCGCAGGCGGCCACCGACGAGGCGGCAAAGGCGGCGGCAGAGGCGGCGGCCGACGCGGCGGCGGCGGCGGCGGACGCGGCGGTGTTGGTGAGCACGGCACTTGAGGGCACAGTCGAGGAGACGGCAGGCGCCATCAAGGCGCGCGCAACCCGTAGATCGAAGGGTCGGAGTGGCCCGCTGAGCCCTGGTCTGACAGGAAGCACCTGACAGTGCCTGACCGTCGGACAGCGCTGACAGCACTTCCTCTGACAGCCTCCAAACGTGGCCACATCTACTGCAGGTGATCCTCGAGGAGGGCGCAGAGTCTGTCGAGCAGCAGCTCGAGGCGGCCGAGTCGGCACTCAGTGCGACGGTGAGCACGGCGGCGGCGAGCATCGAGGCGGTCGTCGGCGCGGGGCTGGGCTTCGATGGCGCCGACGCTGAGTAGGAGCAGCGGGTTCCAGACGACCCACGGTGCGAGCCTTGGCAAAGGCATTGTACTCTCGGACGCCGGAGAGCGACTGAGAGCGAACTCCCTCTCGATCCCTCGCAGCACAGTGAGTGCGGGGGTTTCCTGTGGATCTCTCTCTCTCTCACTCTGATTCTGATGAGATGATATCGCCCTCACACACGAGGGTCGAGCGTGTGTCTCTCCACGGCACTGTGCGTATAACGTATAAAGGACGATTGGGAGTATATTCTAACGTGTTAAACCGTAAACGTGTGTCACTTGAGAGGCAAACCCCACTTTGGGACCTATTTGAGGCGGTGTGACGGCTCTCACAGGGCACGGGAAGCTCGCCCGCCGTGTCTGCGTGGCCCGCCCGACCCGCGGGGAACGGCGCGCGCCCCTCCCGGCGGAGCTGGGTGCGGCAGACGGGCCCACGGGTCGGTTCCGGTCCGATTTGGGGCCGTTCTGTCTATAGTTATGGGTCAAAATCGAGCTAGACAGTTAAATATCTCGCCCCCACGGATGAAACTTTTTGAATTTTCTGGCCACGATCGTCGACCGGGCCCGTGAGGCCACGGGAACGCCCTCGGATTGTACAGCACCCTCCACTAGCCACAACCGTGGGCCCTCAACCGCGTATCGGTGTCGCCGCAAAATAGCCTTCAGACGCTGTCCAGTCGTTATAAATCGGCCAATCTGGCCCCTCTGCCACAAGTTTTGCTTTGGGACGCACCGTAGCACGGTGGAGTCGAGATCCGGCGCGCAACCATCAAAAGTTTCATCAATCGGGCCCGGCTAGACCTGCCACCGGAGGCGCGCAAAATGGAGGCGATTTTGTGGTGGTAAAGCGCAAGATGGCCAGAACGGGGCGCCGCGCGCTCGGGAGCGCTCGCCGCTCGCAGGCCAACTCCTCCCCAGCACGGTGCGTGCGTGCGCTCAGGTTGAACTCGATGCCGCGACTTCACAGCCTCCGCCGTGAAGCTTGCAGCACGCCGAGGGCGGACGCTTTTCGGCGCCATGGTTTTGGCGCAGCGCTTCGCCGGCTGTCATCCCAGTCCATGGTCGCTCCACATCGATTCCCAGGCGTGCCCGCACGCTCCTCAGGGGAGTGGGCACGCCTCTTGCTATCCTGAAGCGCGCGTCAAGCCCGCTCGACCGTGAGCTTGCTCAGCGAACAGTTTTTCAACAGACGTTGAGCGACGGGCGTGAATCTCCCACACACTCGCCAACTCCTGACTGAGCAGGCCTAGTACCCACGTGATAGCCCCACTGATCCATCCCATGCGATCAGGCGCCGCTCGGACCCCATCTTCGAGCAGGATTCCTCGCGGCAACACAACTCGGCGCTCTCGATGTGCGCGCTAGGCAGTCTCAACGCCGATTACTGCCGAGCGCGCACGACTCGTCGGCGTACCGGCGTGCCGCTGGCATACTACGCGACGGTGGAGGCGCGTGGGCTTGCTCAAAAGGCATGCATCTGTCGGAGAGTGTGCCGCAAGACCTGATGTGCCTCCGCTCCAGGTGTGTGGCAGTTCGATGGATCCAGCCCAGCGACCTCCACGTGACGATTGAGGACTGCTCTTCCCCTTCGGCCGAGCCTCCAGTCCCTGCCACCGTGCACTGGCGCCAGCGAGCTGCGTTTACATCCAGCACGCGCGATCGGCAGTCGAGTTACAACCCGCAGCTGTGCTGTGTGCGCGCGCACTCGAAAGTGGTTCGGCGATCTCTCGGCGACCACTCGTCGACTCGCGCTCGGACGCGAGGTGCGTGCTCGCCTGCCTCCCCCGGGAAGGACACGGCCATTTCCAGCGAGATCTGTGGAATCATCCTCACCACCCTGCCCTCACGCCACCCAACCCGTCCGGCTGCTGCCATACTGGGACGTGAGTGCAATATTTGTGCTGCCCTCGCCATCCGACGCGTGTGCTCCGCTCCCTGCAGGCGGGGATCGCCGTCGCGCACCAACACGCTTCGTCCGGGAGGCGCGCGGCGCGACCCGCGTTGCGAGAGCGTCGGCGGAGCCCGCGTGCTGGCCCTCTCCGGGACCGCCGCCGGGGCCCAGAGGGCGCAGATTCGGCCCCCCAGGGTCAAAGAGGGCGGTTCTGACACCGCCAAGCGGTGCTTTCGTGGACCCCACGAGCTCGCGTTCATCCCTTCAAAAATATTTATTTACCCGCAGTTTGCCTCAAGTGGTGTGTAAACGTGCCTCAATGCTCAAAATCTAAAGACTAAACACGATCGATAACGAAAAAAACTTTGATGTTTGAAAGTTTGATCTCTCAGCGTAAGGACGTAAGTGCGTACCACGGTACAGCGATTGCACTTATAGTAACAAACTTAGATGCCACACACGCTTTTCCGCCATATCACTGTGGTTGAAGTCGCTTATTTTGTGTGCGCGTGGAGACAGCCCCCCCCCCACACACACACCCACACACCCACACACCCACACACCACACGCTTTAGCCTCAACGCCGCTGGCACTGCCTGCCGCACTCCGGGTGTAGTGTCGCAAACCCGCTCGGGCTTCAGCAATAATCGCCCACGGGGTAGTCTCCTCGCGGGTAGGGAGAGACCATCGTGAAGCCAGGCGAGTCCGGCGCGTAGGGCCGATCGCATCCACATCCACGACGTGCGCTCTCCGGAGGGCTATGGAGCGCGAGGTCGCCAATCTCCTCCGACGAGAGGTAAACCGAATCTTCGCCGAGGGCGCAGTCGCGGTCAGCCAGCCTCGCACACTCGGCAGCTGCAGTGCTCGTGCCCTCTCCCGTGAATCCGGCCGCAACGGTGCACTCCCCTGTGCGGGTCGTACCCTCATTAGACGCGGTGCTCGCCTGGCCGCGCAGCGAAACGCTAAGTGGCGACGACCGGCTCGTAGAGCAAACGCCTCGCTTGAGAGCCTCGCCGGCGGGCGGCCGACGCAAGTAAGGGCGATCACCGCAGGCAAGCTGAGTGCGGCTGTCCTGCATGAGGTGCTCATCTGGCTCCAAAGTGTGCAAACACGCGACGAGGCGGGCACGGTCGCGAGTGACGGCGGCGAGGCGATCTCGCAACACTCTAGCCTCAGCAGCAAGCGCCTCCTCCGACACCGCCGCCGTGCGCGACGAGAGCTCGAGCTCGGCCTCTGCCGCGAGTGCGGTAGCGCATTCACTCCGCGCCTGCGCCTAGTGACACGGCGGGCGAATCTCGGCGGCGGCGGGGTGACACGGGCGAGGCTCGGCGAGGCTCGGCGAGGCTCGGCAGAGGCGGGGCCGGGCGGCAAGGGGAAGGGAGGCGGAAAACCTATACCTGCGCCAGCCTCTCATGCACGGCGCCGCGCCGCAACGAGTCGGTCGAAGCGCGTGCGAGCGACAGCTCCTCCTGCGCAAGCTCCTGCTGAAGTAGGGATCACGCGTCCGGGTCATGTCATGGACGTGATTCCTTCTCGCCTCCAGCGCGCCTTCAGTAGCATTGCGGCGACGGCGCGAGACTCGTAGAGTGCCGTAGTGAGTGAGCCCACCTCCGACTTGAGCGCCTGTGCGTACCATGGACGTGTCCAGCCGTGCGCTGCTAGGCTCCGCCGGCGCGGCTTTGCCTCGAGCCTCGGCGCAATCAATCACCTCGTCGCGTTCCCGCCGCGCCTGCAGCCCGTCAAAAAAGCTCGTGGTCAAATGATGCGTCGCAAGTGGCCGACCGCCACATTTACCTCGGCCAGCGTGCGGGTCGACTCCTCAAGCTTGCGGACAGCGTGCACGTGCTGGTCAGCGAGAAGCGACATGGCGGCCTCCGACGCGTGCCTCTGCTCGCCGCTCATCGCCGCCTCCCGTTCGGTTCGGACTCGCGCCTCCAGCTTAGCCTCCAGCCTAGCGTTGGACGTGCGCAGCGCGCCAAGCCGCTCGCGCGCGGCGGCCGCCTCGCGCGCCGTGCTGGCCTTCGCGCATGGGAAGAGGAGTCAGGAGCTGCCTTTCTCGTGCAAGCGAGGCAAGCTAGCGGCCTGTTGCTGCGCAGCACGCGACGCCGCCGCTTCCCGCTCAGCTTTTGCGTGCCGCCGGCAAGCGAGCAGCTCACTTAGGAGGCGCTCCTTGGCCTCGCCCTCCGCCGATGCCCTCTCGATTGCGGCCGCGGCCTATCCAACCACCGCCAGACTGAGGCGGGCCGTGCCCGCGCGCCACTCCTTCCTCGCCAGCACAACCTCCGCGCAGAGAGTTGCAGCGCGCTCCGCCAGCACCGCCCTCGCCCCCTCCGCCGCCTCTGCGGCGCGCCGCGTCGCGTCGAGCTCCGCCCGGAGCGCCTCCCCCTCCCTCGCACCATCAAGCCGCGCACGTAGCGCCTGTGCCTCATGTAGCGCCGCCGCAAGCGCATTCTTGGCGTCCACCGCAGAAGCCTCAGCCTCCACCCGAGCGATGCGCTCTTGCTCCACTGCACGCTGCGTCTGGCGAAGCTCCAGGGTCTGCGCCTCCAGCACTGCCCGCAGCCTCGCCGCAGACTCAGCCGCTTCAATAGCTGCTGTGGAAGCGCGGGCTTTCGCCACCTCAGCCGCCGCCTCGGCAGCTCCAGCAGCCGTGTCGGTTGAGATTTTATCCGAGGAGGGGCTGTTGGCCCACCACGCCCGCTCACCGTCGTGGCCCATGTCGAGTTGCGGCTGCGAGATCGGTGCTAGCGGGACCGGCGGGGGTGGCTTCGCCTCTGTAGAGGGATTTTCATGTGCCGCAGCCCGCCGGCTTGCCCGTGCCAGCGCCTCGGCTGCAAGGTCGAGCCCCACGTGGTCATCAGCATCAGCATCGCTTCCAAAGCCGGCTTCGATAGTGGCGGTGGCAGCGGCGGTGGCGGCGGCAGTGGCGGTGGCGGCGGCGGCGGTGGCGGTAGCATAGTCGCAGCCGCCGACCGTAACCGTTGCGCAACGGCGAGGTGTCTCCCTCATCGCAAGCAGCCCCGCCACTCGTTCGCGCGTCGTTATGCTGCGCGCCGTCGGCGACGGTGCCCTCTCCCTCATCACCGCTGCCACCTCACCCTGCGAGAAGCCGTCCAGTTGGAGAAGCCGACGACCGCCACTTGGAGAGCTGTAAAGCGCCTCGGAGCCCGGGGCTGGGGCTGCCTTGCCAGCATATCCGGCCCAGCACGAGGCTGTCGGCGGCCTGGTTCCTTTTTTGCCGCCCGAGTCCGGAGTGGTACACGCGGAGCGGCGGGTCGCTAGCCCCAGTACACGCATGTCTGCTCGTATTGCAAAGTTTCCGTACGCGCGCCGGGTGGCCGATTTGGTAGCCACGCGCCAGCTCCCCTTTTGTACAGACAACGTTTCGCGTCAACGCATGCGACGGGCAGCCGACAGATTTCTTCCTACCCGTCTTGGCTTTCGCCGTGGTTTCTTAGCTCGCCGGCCTCCTCGCAGCCTCGGCGCGCGCGGGCTGCCCCACCTCGGGCGGCGACCCGATCACGTCGTTCGATGGCGTCTCGACCCGCTACTGGCTCAAAAACGGCACCGACGTTGCGCTCTTGGGCACCGCCGGCCCGACGCCTGGCTACAACAAGTCGGTCGTGGCGTCAACGCGAGATTCCGCGAGACCGCCTGTCTGACAGGGTCGAAGTGACTTTCAGACGGTGCTGCACGCCCTCGACGTCCGGGTTGGCGGAGCCGCGATGGCTATCACGGGCAAGGTGGAGAGCGGAGGCGTCTCCGTGTCGGCGGAGGTGGACTCGGCGCACGAGGTACCGGTCGAGACAACTCGCGTCGCCGTCGGTGACGAACTCGGTCTCACGATTCGCTCCTCGGTGGCCAACAAGTTTGCAGACAAGGAGGAGCGGGCCAGGCACATTCACCTCGACCTCGAGTGGACGCACATCGCTCGCAGGGAGGAGGCGCGCGGCGTGCTACCTGAGATCTGGGGCCTCGCTCCGATGACGGAGGAGACCAAGGCCATGCTCCTGCCGCCGCCGGGCCGCCGGCTGGAGGAGGACTGCCCAGAAGAAGCTGGCGGAGCGCCCCCTCCACTCCTGATCCTGGCGTCCATGCCACCGTCGCCGCCGTATTGCGCTGATTTCAAGACCGAAACCGATTGCCTGTGGGCGCCAGAGACTCGCGCACTTGGCACCAAAACGTCGGCGGGGCAGGCAGGCGAGTGTAAATGCCTTTACGAGGAGTGCAAAGCCTTTGATTTGTGTACTTTCCTGAGTGACGACAAGACTCAGTGCCTCGATTACAGCCTCCCCAACGGCGCGAATTGCAAGTGGGGCCCGAGCAAGGATTATCCTACCGCCCATTGCACCTGCGAGGAGGAAGGCTGCAAGACCCCGATGCCGAAGTGCTCTTCAGAACACCCGTGCGAATCCGATTGTCAGTGCGTCGATGGTTCTTGCGAGCCTTTACCTGGGTGCAGTCAGTTCAGTATGGATCAATGCGAGGGTCAAAGCGCGAATGGTGCGAAATGTTGCCTGGGGTCCTCCACGAACGCATCTGATTTGCCATGTGGTGTCTGCTATGGCTCTCATCCAGTCTGCGCAGCTTCTTCAAACTCATTAGTTTCGCCACAGACGGTGCTTCTCAGCCCAGTTGCCACCGATCATTCCGCCACACCGTGGAGAAGCTGACCGCCTCGTACTTTCTGAATGACGATTTCTGGTTCACCGTCCCTGGCGGGAGGATGATGCAAACGTACAAAGACGCCCCGAAGGGTGACACGTCGACAATGCTATGGGGGTTCAGTTTATGATCCGCCAAGAAAGCACCGTGGACCATGGGAAAGACATCCTCAACGCGTTCGCAAACCAGATGTACTGCGACCTGGAACAGAAATCCGACGACGGATGGCGAGGAAAAGACACCACCGCGTCTGGTGAATCGGTTCAATTGTTCCGCCGTTTCTTCGGCGCCAACGACGCTCACCAAACCACGCCCGGGGGAAGCTGGCAAGAGGATTACGTGACGGGAAATAACATCTTCGTGGGCCTTGCTTTCGCCCACGCTTCCACCGTTTTGGCCCAAGATGAGAATGCCGCTTGCTACGCTCTTGCTGCGTATGACATCGCGGATGCCATTTGGGAAACGAGGAAGTGTGATTCGCACGACTTCCCGCGTGATGGGGGCCGCGCTGCCGGCGCCGAGCGTCACCTGCCTCCACGTCTCTTCCTCTAAGGAGAGGAGAGGCTCGCCGCGGGCTGCCGCAGCACGTAGTGTCGGCCGTACTCCGCCACGCCCGCGAGGACGTCAGCCGCTCACCGTCTCGACCGCCGCCTCAATTGGCGGAGGGGCTCGACCCGTCGTTCCGTGACCTACCCGCTACCGCGCCAGCGAGGGGCTCCTGGCGCGCCGCCCGTCGGTCGACGCCCTCGCCCCTGCGCTCCACCAACGACGCCGTCGCTGTCCTCGCCGACGTGACCGTGAGGCCAGCCCATCGCCATTGGATGCAGCCGAGATGCAAAATCCCAGTGCCGTGATCCCCCCTAGACCCCCCCTGGACGCGTCCACCCTCCGTCCAATCGAGCCGTCCCCTAAAATACATACATATTTTTTAGGAGACAGCACAGCCATAGTGCGCTTACATTCCGGAAAGGCTAGCGAGAAGCGAGATGCAGACGGCGATTGCTGTACTTCGTTGGTGTCATCAAGTGACCGGCTGACAAGCCAGAGGTCGATACTCTGGACGACCCATAGGATGCCACGAATGCCTGAAGGAGAGGGAGGCGAGGCCAGAGGCAGACTCAGCTGCTCTCGGGTGATCTCACTTTGGTGGCTGAAGGACCCGATGGTCGCAGGTCGTCCCCCCAGTGCCCAGACCGAGGCAGCACCCAGAGCTCTAAAAAACCACCCAAAGTTTTCCCCACACAGGCACGAAAGAGCGCCGGGTGGAAAACACACAAAAACGTACAGGCAGTCCCCCCCCCCCCCCCCCCGGCGCGTCCGTTCATTGGTGCAGATGCGTCTCTGTCGTATAGTTATGTGCCGAGCTCACAACGTGTCGCCCACCCACTCGTATCAGCAGGTGCCGCACGAGCCCACGCAGCACGACAGGTCGTCGAGGTACATGTTTGTCTTCCGGCACTCTGCGACCGCCGCCGCCGTGTCACGGCCAAGCCCGCGGCAGATCTTGTCGGCGACGATGCCAAAGCGCTGGCGGAACCTAAGACAAGTGTGCAAGAGAGTCGGCCCGCAGTGTGCGACACCGCGGAAGAAGGGGCGGCTGCGCGCGGACAGGGAGGCGGCGGCGGTGGTAAGAGGGGGCGGCGGGACGTGAGAGGGAGAGCGGCGGCGAGGTGGGCCTCGTTTGCAGAGGGCGCAGAAGGAGAGGGGGTATCGTGTCTCGGCAGTGGGTCTCGGCAGAGTCTGTGTCTTGGGAGTGGTCTCATGGGCGTCTCTCACTTGTAGACGAAGCAGAAAGAGAGGTCGCCGTGGCTCACCGACGGACCGACAAGGAAGACGCCGGGGACCGCCGTCGACTCGTCGTCATCCGTCAGCATCGCAGCGCCGCAGAGGCACCCCTTCGCCTGTTAAGAGGAGTGGGACGTGTGACTTGGCCGTGACGCCACGCGCAGAGCCCTTCTCGCCAGGGTGTTTGGTTCGCGTGTCTGTGTGTCCTCTCTCTCTCTCTCTCTCTCTCTCTCTCTCTCTCTCTCTCTCTCTCTCTCTCTCTCTCTCTCTCTCTCTCTCTCTCTCTCTCTCTCTCTCTCTCTCTCTCTCTCTCTCTCTCTCTCTCTCTCTCTCTCTCTCTCCTCCCACTCTCTCTCCCCCTCTCCTCTTCCTCTCTCTCTCTTCTTCGCCTCGTCCGCCTCGTCCGCAAACGCGAAGAGGTTGCGCGCGACCGACGCGACGGAACCCTCGAAGCCGGTGCAGAGCACGGGCGGCTGAGCCGTGTGCACCACAACCTCGCTCCCCTCGGCGCCTGGAGCAAGGCTCCGGCAAGGCTCAGGGAGGAGGCTCGCGTGCCACGCCACCACCTCGCTCCTCTGCGCGCCGGGCGGCGTGATCGTGCCCAGCGAGGCGAAGGGGGCGGCGTCGCCTCCCTCCTGCTCGGCGAGCCAGCGGAAGTATAGCCGAGATACAGCCGAGATAGAGCTGAGCTCATCCCTCTCCCCCACCGATTGTCCCAACGCTGCAGCAACCCCCCACGCCACCAGCGCAGCCGCGCCCGGCCGCCACCACGCTATCAACCCCGCCGCGATACAGCCGAGATACAGCCGAGATGCGGACTCCTGCTCGGCGAGCCAGCGCGCCGTGCTCTCGGCGCGCGTGACAAAAGGCTTCCGCAGCCCGTCCGGCAGCGGCAGCGGGTTGTCGGCAGCCTGACACCAGCAGCACATGGATGAGTGCTACTGATAGCCCGGCAGCGGCGGCAGCTGCGTGTCGGCGGCTAGTTGTCGGCGGCTAGTTGTCGGCGGCCTAAGAACGAGAGAGAGCACAGGAATGCAGGAGTCGAATGGTCGGGGCGGCGGTGGCGGCGGCGGCCTTCCAAGCGGCGACGACGTTGAAGCCGCCCTCGGGTGCCCTCTCCACCCGCTGGACGCGGAGGGGGGCCTGTTCACGGCTACGGCTGTGAAGAGGCGCTACTCACACACCTCCGCCTTCTCGACGCAGAGCGCGCGCCAACAGCTTTGGGCTCGGGGAGAAGCCCTCGGCGGTCACCTCGCGCAGTCGGTCGGCGGTGTACGGCGCCTATTCACGGCCACAGCTGTGAAGAGGCGCTGCTCACACCTCGCGCAATCGGCCGGCGGTGTACGGCGCCTATTCACGGCCACAGCTGTGAAGAGGCGCTGCTCACACCTCGCGCAGTCGGCCGGCGGTGTACGGCGCCTATTCACGGCCACAGCTGTGAAGAGGCGCTGCTCACACCTCGCGCAGTCGGCCGGCGGTGTACTGCGCCAGCTCGGAGGACGGGTCCACCGTCTGCACGTTCCACGTGGCGGTCGAGGCGAGGACGGTCGCCTGCTTGCCCGCCTTTGCGAGGTTGACGGCCGCGTCCACGCCGCTCTCGTACCCGCCGATGACCACCCGCTCGTCGCCGTCCAAGCTCGCCCACGAGCTCACCTGTAGCGAGTCGTTCAGTCGTTGTGTCACCCTCGCCTCCCTTCCCGTCCGCCGGCAAGCGCACCCGCGAATTGTGCAGGCAGAGCTCCGCCCCGCCCACGCAGTCTCCGCCTTCGCGCGGGTACTGGAACTCGCCTGTAGGCACGTCGCGGACATGTCACGGACGTGTCCTCGACAGGTCCGCCTCTCGCGCGGTACTCGAGCTCGCCCGCCGCCCAGACGATATACCGCGACCGCAGCGTCTCCTCTCTCTCCGCACCGTCGGCCTTGCGGCTGCGCACGCGCACGTCGAAGGCCCCGTCGGGGCCCTTCTCGACCCGCAGCACCTCGCAGCGCCGCTTGACACGCTTCTTCAGCTGCACGATCCCGCAGAGGTCGTCCAGGTAGTCTGCGTACCTGCCACAAGCGGTTAGGGTTAGGGTTAGGGTTAGGGTTAGGGTTAGGGTTAGAGGTAGTCTGCGTACCTGCCACAAGCGGACGAGACGGCGGGTACCGTGGGGTAGGGGAGGGTGGGTTCGGGTACCGTGGGGTAGGGGAGGGTGGGTTCGGGTACCGTGGGGTAGGGGAGGGTGGGTTCGGGTACCGTGGGATAGGGGAGGGTGGGGCTGAGGGAGCCGCCAGCAGCAGCCGGCCGAGAGAGGGCCGCGGGTCGGGCGCACTGCGAGCCCGACGGGTGCTGGGCGTGGAGCTCGTAGGCGGGCGAGGAGCCGTGCGCCACCTACAGGAACGCTCCGACAAGGTTCCGGGAAGCTTCGAGTGTGTGACCGAGGAGCCGCGCGCGCGACCGAGTTGAGGTCAAACGAGTTGGTCCACCCCTCCGAGTTGAAAGAGGGCGAGATGAAGCGCATCTCCTCCGGCCACTGCCGAAAGGAGGTGCCGACGCCGTCGCCTTTCTCGACCAGCAGGACGCGGGAGGGGTCGAGGCCGAAGGTCTTGGTGAGCGTGATGGCGAAGCCGATCCCGGCGGCGCCGGCACCCACGACGATCACGGCAGCGTCGACGCCCTCGTCCGACCCGTCGTCCGTCCCTCGATCCTCCACCGCCTCGACACGGCCAGACGCGAGAGCAGGCTTGCGGTCCTCGTCGCGCATGCGCTTCAGCAGCACGGAGGCCCCACCGACGTTGGCAGCGGCGAGGGCGGCGGCGCCGAGGACCTCGGCGCCATCCAATTCGGCCAGCACAGGGTGACTGCGGCGGTGGCCGGAGGCGGCGGCCGCCCGTGAGCGGAGCGCCGTGAGCGGAGCGCCCAGCCAGCCAGCAACGGGAGTCACGAGGAGGAGAGTGGCCATGAGTCGCATCGCTGTGCACATACGTGTTTGTTGTCGCACTGTATGGATGTGCGCGAGCTCCGGCAGGAGCAGGACAGGCGACGGAAAGTGCGAGGCAATGCACGGCGAAGGCACCCTGGTTAGTTGACACCCGTGAGGGCCTCTGAGTCCCCCGCCCGTCAGGGTGATCTTCGGTCTGGTTCGGTCTCTTGCTCGTTTTCCGGGCGTCGCCCCACTGCCTCTGCATTCGTTTTTGATGTCTCTTCTTCGGAGGCGGCCTCTCCGCTCCCCCTTCGTCGGCTTACTTAGCTAGCCCCACTGGCCCGGACGGAGGGAGTCGACGGCCCGGGTGGGGTCTCTCTCCCCGGGCGAGGGCGGCGGCATTGGGTTATGTCGCCTCCCCTCCCCGATCGACGAATCGCGCCCGCACCCGCGGCCTCTCTATCTATCGTACTCGGCTCGCCCCCCCCTTCCTTCCACCGACTCCTCATCGATCTCGGGGAGGCGTGGCCCCCTTTGTCGTAGTTCACGGTGGTCTGGCTGTCGCCGCGACGGGTCTACCCCCGCCCGATGAGCCCGTATGCCCCGACTCCACTCCGCAGAGGCCGAGTCAGCTCGTCTCTCCTCTCCTCTGACAGTCGACTCCAGGCCTCACCCGGGGCCCTCCGGTCTTGGCCTTCCGGCTCGCCGGTCCGCTGTCGTTCTGAAGGAGAGGGAGGCGAGGCCAGAGGCAGACTCCGCTGCTCTCGGGTGATCTCACTTTGGTGGCTGAAGGACCCGCTGGTCCTGTTAAGACACTGTCTCATTCGTGTTCCGAGTCGTGGGGGGGTAGAAGATTGCGGGGAGGAGGAGAAGGACGAGATCTGAGGGAGAGAAGGGGGGAGGGAGGTGGTGGTGGGGGCATAGATGGGCCCAGGTAGGAGGCTCCACGCCACCTGAATCGCGTCGTGCCACCTGAAAGCCACAAAATGCCGGATTTTGCACGAGACACACGCGGAAAGCGCCACGTGCCTCCACGAGTCCTTTGCAGCTTTTTGCACAAAATGCAGGTGGCTTTAGCCACTTGCTCCATGAGCAAAACAGTCCAAAAAGCACCTGGAGCAGATGGCTTACGCCGCCTGTGGACATGGGCAAAACAGTGCAAAAAGCACCTGGAGCAGATGGCTTACGCCGCCTGTGGACATGGGCAAAACAGTGCAAAAAGCACCTGGAGCAGATGGCTTACGCCGCCTGTGGCCATGGACGGTAGTTATAAGTGTTAATGGAAATTTCAACGTACGTTCAATGCGGATTGAATGCGGCGAGAACCCCATAAAAAACGCGCAAATAAGCCCGCCATCGACGTCGTCCCCGCCTTTTGCACTCGGCTTCGAAGAGGTAGGTACTGAGCTTGGAGGGGAGGCGGTCCGCGCCGGCCCTGCAGGCCGTCACAGAGAGCCTGGCGAGGCTGTACAGAATGCCGAGAGCATACTGAGCAGGCTGCCGTCGAGCGACGAGCCATGCTGGCTCGTCGCAGGCGATCAGGTCGAGGAGCCGATCGGAGCCGGTCGCAGAGGCTGCCGACCACTGTGTCGTTCGCCCTCGGGCCCAGGGGTGGAAGGCAAGCTTCCTGGCGTTTCTGGCGAGCGTCCAGACGTCGCAGAGCATCCGGCAGGCGCGCAGCGACCCAAATTTTTGCTCACCGCATGGCCGTGCGAGCCGTCGGTCGGTGGTGATGGTCGGCGTCGGCGCGCGCCGCCCAACGCGGCGGCGGTGGGCGTCATGTGGCTGGCGTGGGACTAGCCATTGTGCGAATTTCGGACGTCCCTCCCTCTTTCCAGGTAGTCTACCACTTCCTCTCTCTCTCTCTGACTGACTGATCCTCTCTCTCCCTCCCTCCAGCTCTCTCCCTCCTTCCTCCGTCCCCCCCCCCCCCCTCTCTCTCTCTCCTCGCTCGCATACGCATTCCGAGCTGTCCTGGCCGCCCCCAGCAAGCAAGCATACGTACGACCTGTATCTCCGGCGAATATTCTGGGAGGGAGGCTGCAGAGGGATACAAACGCGCATATGCCAAGATTCTCCACGTCACCCCGCCCGCTGGAGGCATTTCCGATGTAACTCGACATGTAACAGTTTTTCGGGCTCACCACCGCGTGCGGAGGGATACACCCATGGAGGCCCACCCCGCCGCCCACTGCCCACTGCCCACTGCTGCTCACCGCTGCGAGCCGAGTCCCAGCTCAGCCCATCTGTTCCGAGCCAGGCGGGTGACGAGGTAAGCGTCCTGTACTGGCTCAAGAAGGGGCAAGAGATACTCCCGTTTTGTGTGCGACTGCCACGGGGATCACCGGTGCCAATTCAAGAAATCGCGCAGGGGCCACCCCCATCGCAGGCGCGGAAGGAGAGCGACCGCCCCCTCTCGAATCCCACTCTGTCTCAGCCCAAAATCCCGCACTTCAGATTCCGACCGGCTGGACTCTGTCGACTACCTTTGCGCCCGAACTTCGCATGGGGTGCGCATTCATCCCACTCCTGTCCCCGCCGTCCCCGCCATCCCCGCCATCCCCGCCATGCCCGCCATGCCCGCCACCCCCGCCACCCCCGCCACCCCCGCAGCCCCCGCCATCCATCCATGCTCCCAGGAAGCCGATGGTGGCGCCCGCACCATCAACGCGCGGGCGCAGAGGCTCTGGACAGTGGCTCTCCAACGGGACGAAGGCAGACCAAAGTCCCTCTTCCCAAGTTCTCTCTAGACCCCCCCCCTTAATACCCCATTTTCCCTACAGGTCAGGGCGGTCAAGATCGTAAACATGAACATGAACGAACTCTATGCGATGACGCAAATGACCACCGCGGTTCCAGTGACCTCCACCCCCCTTCCGATGGTCGAGGAGGCCGCCGAGATGTCGTGACGGCCAAGAAGGCAACACGGCGCGGGGAATGTGGTGAGGAGATGGCCTCTCACTCCGGCACGCGCATCTTTTCGGGGACCCGGGCTTTCGCTGCGCGGGCGCGGGCGGGCGGGCGCGGGCGGGCGGGCAGGCGGCAGCCCAGCCCAGCATTTTTTTGTGTTTTTGGCCATCTTGGGGACTAGCGGAGAGAGAGAGATCAGTCGACGCACTAGATGAGAGAGCTCCTTCCGGGTTTGTGTGTACATTTGCCTCCATTAGCTCCGTCTACGTGCGGTTCCACTCCTCAAAGCCGTACCTCAGAGAATCTCGAGACCAGAAGGGTTGGTTGGGTAGTAGGGGTAGAGGTCTCAGATGCTGGGCGGTGGAGCCGTCCGATCGGAGCCAGAAGACCTAACCAGCGGTTAACCGCGACTACGCGGCTTTACCGGGGGTATCGCGATTTTTGCTGTTTGGTAGAGAGAGAGAGAGAGCGCTCCGACCCTCGCTCTTTCTCTGGTAGGACGGGAACGAGATGATAGTAGGGAGTAGAAGAAAGCGAGTCGGCAGGAGGAGCCCCTCCCGCCCGTGCTTGTGCAGCGCAGCCTCTATAAAGAGACCGCAGGACATTTCACAAGATTGGATCACTGTGCCTCTGTCGACATGTGGTAAGACAAGGCACAAACATGATATCACGTCGGAGCACGGAGGGAGGCGGCGGCGGCGGCAGCTGCGGGTGGCGCGCTCAAAAGCACCGCTGCGAATAGGACGATGCGTTCGAGAGCTCCCAAACATTGCCGAACCAGCCAGCCGCCAGCAAGCCGCCGTGTCCCTCTGCGGCGAAGCGTGGGCCGGTCACGGCGTAGTCAGGCACCAATGGTGAAGGGCGAGCGCACCTGTGGGAGGGGGCGCGGTCCGTGAGTGCTGCCGTGCCTCGCGTGTCTATTCGCGAAACCGCCCCGCGCTGCATGCGTCGCGCGTGGGCCTGCCGCCCGTGCTAGGCCGTGTGCGCGACTGGACGGAGCGCGCCATCGGCGGGATGGTGGGCTCTCCAAGCGCGATGGCGTCGCGCAAGCCGCGCAAGTCCGAGCCATCCACGACGAGCGCCAGCCCGCCGCCTGGCGTCGGCCCGAGTAGGACGGCGCCGACCGAAGCTCCGCCGTACTCACACGCGCCCAGCCGCAGCGCCCCCCCCTCGCTCCACGACGCAGCGTGCCCGACCCGCCGCCAGAACGCCGCCAGCCTCCTCGTCGCCGCGTTGTGCCGCGGCCCGCCGATCAGAACCAGATTCGGAAGATGAGCCCCGCCCGCCACCCCGCTCTCCACCCTGCCCGCAGCCGCGTCCGCCGCCGCGCCCGCAACTGCGCCCGCATCCGCGCCCGCATCCGCGCCCGCATCCGCGCCCGCAGCCCCGTCCGCGTCCTCGAGCGCATCCGCGAGCGCATCCGCGAGGGCGTGCTCGACGTCCGTGTCGAGCACCACCGCCGGTGACGCGTCACTCGTCTGCACATGCAGGTTGGCAAAGAAGACTGCCAGCTCGAGTTAGCGAGGCCGCAGTCACGCCGCTGCCGTCCCTGTCGTCGCTCGCGCCGCCTCCGCCGCCGCCCCGCCCTCTTTCCCCCTCCGCGCCCGCCCCGCTCTGAGATCCGGCGACCACCGCAAACGGCGCCTGCATCGCTTGTCGCGCGGGACCCGCCGACACTAGCGAACGCTCGGCCACTTGCCAGCTCTGCGCGCCGCACACGCGCCACTTCTCGCCGGGCGAGAGCGAGCACAACTCCACGCGCCCCTCCTCCTCCCCCTCCTCCTCCCCCTCGGCTGCGTCGGCCGCGCATGCTACCTCCTCGCCGTCGATCCACAAGCCGCCTCCAGAGCACGTCGCTGCGCCGCCAGCTGCTGCTGCTGCGGCGGCGGCGGCGCAACTGCCCTGTGCGGCCGCAGCAGCCGTTCTGCAGCGCAAAACCGCGCCTGGCACCTCAAGCCTCCTCATGTTGCGTGTCGTCACGATCACACGCGGAGCGCCGTCGACTCTGCCGCTGCCGCTACTGCCGCCGCTACCGCCATCCTCGCCGCCGCAGCGGCCACCACTGCTCTCCTCGCTGACGACGCGCAATTCGGAGAGGCGAGCCGGCACGCGCTGCTGCACGATGCGCCAGCCGCGCC